AGCTTCAATGTCACATTAGAATATCGTTGCAAGATAATATTCAGAATTCAACGTGTGCATCATGAGTGCAAGTGCATTGCTACGTGCCTATTGAAATGAGCAACTAAGTGGAACGCATCTCAATCGGTGGCTTTCAGCCAGTGGTGGGAATTCCATATTCCTAAGCCAGTCTCTTCCTTAAGACTTCCTACATGGTGAGAAAAAAATTATTCCTATTTTTCGACTATTTTTTCAAGGTAAAGCCCACTGAGCTATATAGCTCTTTTTTTAGAAGCAACCTCGCCACAAATGATAGCTCAACAAAGTGGCTTATCATGTGGAAATGTATAGCAGCCAATACTCTAAATGTATATTTCGAAATGTAAAGGGAAAAACTGGAGGACCTGGAGAAAGAGCCACTACACCACGGGGAGAGAGACATGCAGACTCCAAATATACAGGTAGCAGGGTCAAGATATAACCCATGACCTCCTGTATACCAGGCGAGGTAGTTGACGTTTCACCACCGCGGTGCCCTCTAATTGCATCCTCCCAGCCAGACGATGAGCTGAGTTGATCCACCGGGCGAGATTTGGACTCATCACCTGACAATTTAAAACATTCTCAAACTCCGAGTCGATATCATGGTAATTACCAACAACTTTAGAGGTCGATTATATTGTGGTAAAGGTAACGGTGCATCCATCCCTGCAATTTCTTGCTGGTGACAGAAGGGCCCCCCCCCCCCCCCCCCACTGGAGTGGGCTTTGAAAACCCCCCTGAGGGTTCATTTTGTCTCTCCACAGTGGAAGAGGTTGGAGTGTTCACATTTTACTACGTGCGACCTGCCAGACGACTCACTGTGGTGAACCCATTTACAAGGAGCATAAACCATCACGCGAACTCCGGTCATCCTCGCTGCGGCTTCTCGCTGGCCATCGAATAAAGACGGTCGCTGCATAACACAATTTCAGATGCACTTCTGTGACTGTCTGGGATGCTCTTCCTTCCAATTTCAGGAAGCTACTGGAGCTATGCGCTTTAAAATTTAGATTGAAAACTAATTTCGTTAGAATTGCTTTTTGTATTCAGTAATGTTGTGCTTCCCCCACACCTCCGATTAGCATGGTTGGCTACATACGGTGCGAAATAAGTTGAACATACAAACAACATACACATGTATCGCGCATTGCTTGGCACCGTATCTTACGTTTGCTGCACATGCGGAGAGCTTCAGGGACTGAAATTGGCAGACGTCATATTAAGCAATGTGAGGAAGGGTTACATTTAGAGGAGTTTGCAAGAGTTTTAAATTAAAAATAATAATTTACAGCCATTTGTCAATCCACTGCTGAATAAACACCTGCCCACGTTTTGTTGGTGATGAAGATTTTTGACCATACTTCACCACACTGGTCAATGTGGGGGATTTGAGACACTTGCCAAATGTGGTTAACCGCTGTACCAGGAGATCGAAGCGGCATGCCAAACCATTACACAGCAGGCAAGCATTAAATAGTGAACCTTTTCTCAAATACGTCACAATCTACAAAATGTACAAATCTGAATTATGGTGGGGCAGGAATGTTTAAAAACAAAGTGTAGCTCAATTCGTGAATCTGAATTATGAGCAGGTGACCAGAAAACATCATCCTGCTCCTGTGGGAAAGGCATTGATAAGATAAAAGTGGAGAGAGTTAATTAGGTTATTTGTACAGGGAACCTTGGGTATTTGTGTTGAGTGGCATGAATCGTCAAGGTCTGATGAAGGAGAAATTACTTATTAATGGAAAAATATATATATTTTTTTATTGTGGAGCTCTCAAAACACACCCTACCTCATTTTGACAATTTCCAAATTACCAATCACAGTAAACGTGATTTCCTGCTCAAACATGCATTGAGGTGGTACTCAACTTCTGTGTACATCCTGAGCCAGTGAGCAAATTTCAAGTTCATATGGCGGGGGCAAATCTGTCCATAGGGCGACCAACGTTGACTTCTTGACAAAGTGATACCTATTTTGTCGACTCCAGAGAGATGATGGGCTGAGTCAACCCCCAAACAGAATTTGAACTTAGTGATTGCGAGCCGCTCACTCTACCACTGAGAAACCTGGCCGTATAAATTACTAATAACATGTAACTAATTATAGTGATGTAATCTGGCTGCAAATTGCTGAAGCATCGCGCGTGACTTACAATTGGAAGGTGATGAGTACAAATCCCAGTTGGGCATTGACTTTATCCATCATCCCACTGGCTAAGAGAAGATCACTAACAATTTGCAGGTCAACAATGGTCATCCTTTGGAGATATTTATCCCTGATGCTCTAGGAATGTGTCGTTTCCACCACCCAGGCCTACCAACACAGTAGACCTGGAGAAGCATCTTTGGATACGATGGGAAACAATGACATGGGATAGTTTAATGTCTAGATGAATGTACTTATATATTTGTACAGCAGGGTGACACACTCTTAACACTTGTGCCTCACAGCAAGAAGATACTACGTTTAATTCCCAATTCAGGCACCTTTCTGTATCGATGGTGCATGTTCTTCCCATGTTCTGCATCGGTTTCCTCCAGATCCTCTGGTTTCCTTCCATCGCTTAAAAGAAACATTCACTCTAAACTGATGTAGGGGTGTCAGGGGAAGGATTCCCACCAATAGATGGGTTAGTGGGAGGGGTGATCGAGGAGATATAAGGAGAGAACGGGCGGGAAGAAGGGGCCTTTGGCGGGAACGATATTGGGACGGCTGGGGGACAGGTGTGGATGGAAGGAAAGGAATAAAGGACGAGACCCCTGCAATCTGGTGTCGGCTCCTACTTTACACTGGTATGGGCCAAAAAAACACATCCCGATGCTGAAAGATTACCTGCAAATTACTCAATTTGGATGGCACACAGCAGCTGTAACATCAGCCCCTGTGCTGCAAAACCTTGGCAGGACCCTCCTGCAAACAGGCCTTGAAACTCAGCGGCGCTTTCCCGAACAAACAAGCGAAACCAAGAACAACAATAAATAATGAGGCAACTTGCTATACTTCCTCTCACCGGCACCTCCTTGCCATGTAGTTGAGTGTGCCATGCAAACGTTGCCCATTTCCATTTGTGGACAATCCAGCAACCCTGCCCCTTAAACCCCAGATTTCCGTCTTTTCGTCGCGATGGCCACTCCAATGGGCGCATCGACATACCCCCCTGAACCCTGCGTCATTTTAAACCACGTACGCAGCTTAATGAAGCCATTCTACAACAAAACTTCGCCCCCCCCCTCTGTAATAAATATAAAATGTACATATCATCATTTGCTCGTGCTTATTAGCATTTTAATTGCTTTCACGCCTTTTTTCTGCAACCTCACAGTGGACCGGCGGTAACGGCAGCGGCGGCAGCTGATGCAAGTTATTTTCCCTCCGTCACCCCATTAAGGCAAATGCGATCCGGGCGTCATGCAGTCACGGGAAGAAGGAGGAGAAAGGCGTTTGCCTGCACATTATTTAATACGAGTACTAATTAGATACGTTATTATAGTATTTTCAATGGATTTCTCTTGGTGGGTGGGTGTGTGTGATATGGAAATTTCCCCCCTTCCATGTAATTGTGTTGGCGGTACTTGTGGACGATGAGGGTGAAAAAGGTGAGTGATCATTCTCCGTAATACATCTTTGCCATAATTAAACCCGTAAAAATCGTGTTTTTTATTAATCATAAATTATTTTACGTATTCATGTATTCCTTAGGAATGTCATCATTAATACCTATGAATTCAGAATGTTCAAAGTAAAACTTCTTATAGAGAGAAGAGGGATTTTTGTTTGTCTTGTACAAATACATCATTGCTTCACTCGCATGAAAACTACGCTCAACAAAGAATGTCCACTCATGAGTGGCCTTGAGCGGCGACAACTCAATTTATATGGTTGTGGCCAACAACGGCCTGTCAGACTTTCAAAAGAGTGCAAACTCACCGAGTACGAGTTGACCCCTGACTGAGATTTTTTGAAATCACAACCTTCGCTTCCCGGCGTCAATTGCTCTATGCCAACAAAGCTGGGGCTTTTTCACTGCAAATAAAGGCCCATTTTGATGCTTGCATGATTTTATTTGCCCCCCCCCCCCTCCTCCAACCATTAATTCTCACAACAGCCAAAGCCAACGATAAAATAGTAGTACAACGTGACTGCATTTCAGGCTGCACAGTAAAAAAAAAACCCTGCCAGATGGACTCCAGATTGACAGATTTTCCACTACGCTGGAGCCAGGTCAGCTTGTTCAGAATGCAGCTGTTAAAGATTGCTTGCGCAGTTCTACGAGCACATCTCACACTTGTTCTCTAGTCGCTGCCCTCGCTACCAATCAAGTTTCAAGTGGGCTATAAGATCCTGCTGCTGAACTGCAAGGCTATTAATGGTCTGCTCTTGGGGTGATCGGGCTTTTGCCAACATAGCTCCCAAACTATGGAATGCTTTTCCTTTGTTAATCAGGCAGAGTCACTAGAGTTATTAACATCTGTCTTGACAACTCACCTCTTTACATAGGCCTTCACCCCCGAGTTATGGCCGTTTGGTTCTGTTCTATTTCCTGATTTCCATTGATGGTGAATTGCGATCTTTGGATTAAATGTGACTTATTAATGAAAAAAAGTATATTTAATGCCAAACAATAGTAAATTATATAGCATATTTTTCACACTCTATCCTTTGTAATGTTTTGGATCATGCACGTAATAAAATGTGCCACATGTTACATTGTGCATAATTTGTTGGCTGCGTATGGTAAGAAAGAAGTTCTACATACATACAAAGCGCATTAAATGCGTGGTGAGGAATGGTGTCGAGGAGGATAGGGGAGGGTAATGGGGGAGGTGTGGTAGGGGCGTGGGGGGGGGGCACGTCCCCTTAGACTGACAGACGTCACTACAGTACAGCACGGCATACCACAAGTAACCTGGCACACACATACATACATGTGTGCATAAAATACACATGCATGTGGGCGTTTTACTCTACTCACAAATGCACACGGGCTGCACGCCACTCCACGTCAGGTCCTCTTGACAGCTGCGTGTGGTGGAGCCCTGGATATGGAATCCCTTTCTGCAGCTGAACTGCAGCAGGCTGCCGACCTGTTTTGGACGCACGCACGCACATCAGTGCACAGGCAGCATAGCGCAGAGTGATTACCCTCCATTGGGGTAACCTCATCATCAAGGGACCATTTCCCCTATACGGTTGTCCCGTTAAAAATGTACAGGGTATTCGTTTTTTTGTAATGGAAGCCAGTCACACAACTCGCTGTTTGCACTGGAAAGTGAAGTCAAGATAATTATGCGCTGTTATAAAATGTTCACCTCTTTAATGTCAAGCTGCTGCTGAATGCAAGCCCCCCCCCCCCCCCCCCCATGCCGTGTCAGTTGTTTGACCTAACTTCATCACCACGCTGGCTAGTTTAACTTGTTGAAGGGGCAGAGGGCCACAACCGGTTTACTGCACCTATCGCTCGCCAATGATGATGACTGTGGCTGGGATTCAAACTCGAATCACCTGGTTCACAGTACAAAGCACTGACCACTGCACCAGTGTGACCACATGCATCGGCGTAAATGAGGTCAACAACTCCTCTGATGGTGACCCCCAAGTGGCACCCCCAATGCTGTGTCGGTGACTGCCCCACCTCCCTCCATCCTGCACACGTGCCTTATCCACCTCCTCAGCCTCATCGATCTGGTCGTGCCTACAATGTTTCCCAGCCAAACCTCTAAGTTGCTTCTGCTATCCAACAAATCGTTTCTCAGTTTCCATTGTATACACATACACACTATTCAAAATATCCATCAATGTACGTACATTTGCACTGCACGGCTTTTGGTACAGATGATTATATAAACCACCGCTGCACTTACCTGGTATCCCATTGTGTAATTTTGTTCTCCATTCACTGGTGTTCCTGGGTCTGTACAAGTAGTATGAGTTGGATCTGCAGAAGCAAAACATGACAAAAATGCAACAACACAAATAAAAACATGTTTTTAGCTTATTACAAATGAGCGAACACCATTCGTTAGATAGGCAAAGAGGAATCGTTTTGATAATTGTTTTTTTACCCTTTCATCTGGCAACAAAACTGACACCTTTTTTACAAGGAGTCATGTTTGCATTGACCACAATACATGCAAACAAAAAAACACTGTCCTTAAAATTGATTGGTCCATACCCGAGACAGCTTTCCTTAGAGCCTAGTCTCACATGGTGTTGGACCAGATGACGCCAAAAGGCACACAACTCAAAGACAATGCACCATCAGAGTATGAGAGCTCGGGGTAAGCATTTACACCATTGGAACCTCCTTTGCCAGTAGCAAAATATGATAAATCGTTTTCTCTTGACTTTCCAGCAGAGATAACGTGAATGCATAATGTTTGCCTTATCTCTGCCGAGCAACATTATAAGTGAGAATCTGACAATCCTTGGAATTCATCACACTAGCCTAGAAGTTAACTATCGTGGTCAACTTCGACAAAATGTTACTTATTTTATTGACCTCGAAGGGATGATGGAATGGGGACATGCAATTGCTATTACCTATTACTAGGACAGTCTTCTTGAACCCATCATTCTTTTGGTGTCTGTAAAATGAATACGACTTTGTTGGATGTTACTAATGGTTGTCCCATGGAGAAAAAAAAACTCACCTTCATCACAGGGGTGTGAAACGTCCACCTCTGACTGGCTCAAGGACATCAACAGAGATGAACACCGCCCTACGCGCTCACTGTAGCCATGCATTCTCTACTTAAGTGTTGTGCTCTTTCTAAGGTTTTGCTGATTGCACACAAAGTGCTCGCCAGAGTTTTACCACAATACCTTGCTGTTCTCGTCAAGGAGCAAAAATCATCACGTGAACTCGGGTCATCATCACAGCAGCTGCTTTTGGCTCACCATTGAACATAGAGGGTCACTGAATCGCGCGCTTTCAGATGTGCTTTTTCGGCCGTCTTTCCAATATTAGCAATCTACTGGAGGTATGCACTTTTAAATGGAAATTGACAACTCATTTCTTCCAAACTTCTTTTTGTGTTTAGTTTGTTGTCCTTCCCCCCCGCACCTCCGATTAGCATGGTTGGCTACATGCTGTGCGAAGGAAGTTATTATTCACTTCGAAAAATATGTTGACATGATATGTATGTTGAACTCAGAGGTGTGGACTCGAGTCATGTGACTTGGACTCGAGTCAGACTCGAGTCATGAATTTGATGACTTCAGACTCGACTTGGACTTGCATAACAATGACTTTGTCCCACCTCTGAGGTGTGGACTCGAGTCATGTGACTTGGACTCGAGTCAGACTCGAGTCATGAATTTGATGACTTCAGACTCGACTTGGACTTGCATAACAATGACTTTGTCCCACCTCTGGTTGAACTACTTTCACACCGTACGTAGTCAACGATGCTGATCGGAGGTGCGGGGGAAGGACAAGATATGATAATAAGGCAAAAGGAGAATTAATATTTACCGATGCACCGTGGCTGGGAGTCGCTCCATCTCCCACTGGCGTTGCAGACCTGTGTCACGGTGCCCACGAGGACGTAGGGAGGGTTGCAGCTGAACGTCACTTCTGACTGGAAGGTGAAGCTTTTGCCCACCCTCTGCCCGTTCGCAGGAATGCCCGGGTCACCACAGAACATGGCTGCAAGGGAACACACGACCGCGGGGTTTGGGAGCTCATGGGCAGCTCGATTGCGCCCAATAGGCGAAGCTTTGAACTGTCGAAACTAAAACGATTAAAAACTATTTTTTTTATTTAACCAGGTAAGGCCCACTTGAGCTATGTAGCTCTTTTTTCAGAAGCGACCCTGGCCACAAATTATATCTGAACGAAGTGGCCTATGATGTGGAAATGTATAGTAGCCAAATACTGTGAACGCATGTTTCTAAATGTGGAGGGAAGAACAGGAGGACCCAAAGAAAAATCCACGCAACCACAGGGAGAACACGCAAACACAAAATATACAGGCGTCAGGGTCAGGGTCAGGATCGAACCCGCGACCTCCTGCATACGAGGAGAGGAAGTTAACATCTCACCACTGTGCCACCCCTGCTGTCAAAACACAACCCAATGGGAATCTATGGTATTTTATGCATGTGATGGCTTGTTTAAATTCATGTATTGTATTCTTGCAAATGGCAATATATTGAGGAGCTAGAGATGATGGCAATATGTTCCAGAGCTAGACATGGTAATATGTTCAGAATGACTGCAAGCCACAAGAGAGCTTCAGGAGAAAGTTTGAAAGAGTGCAGACCACAGTGGTTTGCTTTCTAGCCCATACACTGAGTTGCATGGCCATCGTTGCAAAAGTGGTCTGTGTCTTTAATTTTCATACTTTGATGGAAATGTGCACATCGGCCTGTTGATGTTCTGATGCGATTCAGTGTTATCACCAGTGGCAGACACTGGTGATAGTGGCAGACACTGGTGATAACCACCAGCTCAAAACAGCCAGGATTGTGGCATTGTTTAATACAGTCAAATAATATGTACCCACATATATTTTACTCCATTTATTATGTTTGCTTACCAAGGAAAGCCTCACACCGAGTCAGCTGACCCTTTTCAGAAGGGTACGATGATTGCTCTGTAGATTTCAATGTGTATGTGTGTGTACATATATAATTTGTTTCGGGGCTAAACACATTTTTTTAGTTGCTGAATCGCCACCTCGGCTGAAGAGAGTTTCTGACTTTGGCCAATGATTTATCCATCCATTAAATTAAAAATAATTGACTGCAGCTCTTGAATGTGGCATAAAGTATTCATCGAGAAGTGAATGATAAATGGTACGCATACAAAGAATGTTCTCTGCTGAAGGGCTTTTATCTGATTAAAAGGCAAATTGATTAATTGATTTATTTATTGATGGGAACTTATGAAATGAAATTAAATTCTGCTATGTATATACCAGTTCTTTTTTTCCCTAAGTTTGACTGATTTGTTCAAACAAAGTATGGTGTGCAAACTAAAAATAAATGTATATAAATGTAAAAACATGAAGTTACCCACTGAGCTGAACAGAAAATGCACGGCAATTGCGATTACTTTGGTGAGAGTTGTAACGCCGATGAATATGCACCTACGATTAGCACGGTTGGCTACATACAGTGCTGAAGAAGATCAACATACACAGAAACTGTATGTTAATAATGAACAATAAGTCAAAGCATTTACAGGTTAAATTGTATTCATTTAAAATAGATCATAGCTTCGTAAATACATCGCTGGATGAAGGCCTCATCATGTCATGCCAGGCATGGGAGTTTAACCATACTTTTCCATGTGGGTCAGTGTCTATTGGCAGAGGGCCACCCGGGACTGGTTAAGATCTCGCAGGCTGCTGATGTTAGGTGTAGGCCGAGAATCAAACTCTTGTAGTCCACTCATTGCCATATTTTACAAAACTCAAAATAATAAATGGGCTGTTTCCATTGCAATATGAGGCAAAATGTAATTAATGAGCATATTAATGATTTGGTTAATTCCAAATGCTTCAAAATTCCTTAATAAAAGCGAGATTCAATTAATTTTATACGTAGGCTTTCATAACCAAAATTATAATTGGTAATTCGTTTTTTGTGGGTTAGATCATGGTGTGGGTATAATCTAATATTTGTAAATTGATTTAACACAAAAGAGACTAATATGCAATTACATTATTTTAAACATATCTAGAAGTACTTTTTTCCATGAAATTTTCTCCTAAAAGTGGTTCATTGGTTAACTTACTCCAATATTAAAGCAATGTATTTAATTTTCCCCCAGTCATTCTTTTGGTATCACTATGAATGACCACGATCTCAAACCGTTTAAACCTCTCAATGTATGTAAAATAATACCAATTAATAAATGTACAGCCTTATCTCAAATCTACTGCTGGATGAAGGCCTCCATATGCCATGTTCGCCCTGGAATTGTTCTTATTTGTTTTACCACACTTCACCACACAGGCCAGTGTGGCTCGATGAAGGAGAGCTTGGACCAGCCTAGGATGTCGCTCACCACTGATGTTTGCCATTGCTGGGGCTCAAACGTAGCTCATTGGATCATCGTTATCATCATCATCATCATCGCTTGTCACTGAAAATCTGCAGCCAAGAGATGGTGCTGTAACTTACTTCAAATACCGTCTCGGATGTGCAGGATGCTGACAACAGCCACTGCATCGGGCAGTGTGACCGCTCTACATTCGCATTTGTGTTCATTTCTCATCTTCCAATAAATCAATGTAGTTACCGGTCTTTGCCGTCTCAGTCATTGCTCGGTTTAGGGTACACCGGGGGTTTTATTGTGCTACCGGTGAAGTCTCCCATTTAAAGTCAGTAGTTGAGTCGTTGTGTGTTCAATGGTCCGTTCTGCGGCCATCCAAAACAGACCATGGAACAAATAACAATCCAATGCAACATTCACAAATAAACTCCACTACTCCTGCGCTATGACCCATTGGCTCGAGTGAGATTTACGACCAACATCAGTGACGATTATCTGAACAGGTCCTGGGCCTCTCCAAGGTCAACACAGCCTCAATGAGTACCTGGTTCGTTGTTAAAACGTCGACAAAGGTGGGTGGGTGTGTGCCGTGCCGGCCTTAGTCAGCGCTACTCACTAAAAGCACTTGCCCCAGCAGTCCACTATAGGCTATAGGGGGGGGGTTCTTCGTCTTTCCATATCTTTGTGCGTGTGGGTAAGCCTGGCGAGCGAGGAGGGCAAAAAGCAAACCGTGTTGTGCGCACACGTCCGGCAGGCAGGGACTCACGCAGGCACTGCGGGAGGTCGCCGACCCACGTCCCCCTTCCGTCGCAGGAGAGCAGCGCGTTGTGCGAGAGCTGGTAGCCGGGGGCACAGCCGTAGGCCACGGACGCCCCCCAGTCGAACACCGTGCCCTCGACCCGCCCGTTGAGCACCGCCGGAGGCTGCCCGCAGGTGATGACTGGAGGCAGGGAGCCGCAGAGTCGCGGTGTCATTGCGCACACGGCGGGCAGCATGCATAAAACATATCCACTTGGCAACGTTACTTTAAGAGCTTTGAATTTTGGACACGGATTGAACATGGGGTTTTGCTTAGGCGCCTGAGTTTTTGTAACGCCGCTCAGACGTGTTTGCAGTGGCGGCAGTGGAGGAAGTGGCAGCAGCAACATCGCCATTATTAACGCCACTCTCGTCATCATTGGCAGCAATAGTAGAATCATCATCGCCATCGTCATTGTTATCATCCTCATCATCATCGGAAGCAGCAGCATCAAGAGTTGCATCATCATTGTCGTCGCCATCATCAACATTAGCAGTCACAATTTTAAATATTAAATCGTTATTAATGATTTCACCATAAGCAATGTAATGTATACATCTCAATGAATGCTCATGCATGTATTTACAAATTAACATGGCACTAAATCCGACAATGTTTGCACTTGACCGACCCATAACACGTAACACTGCACAACAAAGTGGCATAACCTGTACAGACACATGCAGCAGATCAGACTGGTTTAAGTAAACTGGTCCAGGGTTTTTCTTGAGGAAGAAAGCAGGACCACTCTACAAACTATTTATCTGCACAACCTATGGCTCGATAGATGATATGGTATTTCATTTTATTGATAAAACTAAACCCTTGCATTCTTCATCCGTATTTATTATTTGATATAGACTAAATGGAGAGTGCTCTCCTCATAAGCAACTGGTGGAAACCTGTTCAACAGTGTTTAATAAAATTGCCCTTGCATAGCTCAAATTAACATAAATAATAAAGACAATGCTTCTCAGACTCTGGTCAACCCAACGGATGATCTTTTTACCATACCACTACCATGCTGCTCGATGTGGTAATGGGGGAGGACCCAGGACCGGTTCAGATACCACTCACCGCTGATGTCAGTCATCACCGGGAATGAAACTCTGGTCTCTGGATTCAGAGCACAGTGCACGTAACCAGTGCGCAACTGCCCTCTCCTCTGCTTCCAACTACAAGAGAAGAATTTCAATTCCAGGCCAGGGGCCAGCGATAACAGCACCACTGTTTAATCTTCAATCATAAACTAGCCCTTGCCATAGGAATGTGCAATTTATTACGCTGCCTGCTATTTTAATTTGCATTTAAGCAGCGCGACGAGTAATACGTGTTTTCCCAATTCAGTAAATTTGTGTGTGACCTTTTTTTTATTATATCTGGCAAATTTGGACCGTGATGCTGGCACACAATGGTCGACTTTACTTAGAATGACATCACGGGATCTTTAACATCTGCTGTCAAGCAGGCTACGTGCATTTGATTGTGAATACACCTGTGGTGTTGATACACCTGCAGTGTTGATATACCTGCGATATGAACCAGGTCTCGCTACGTTACGGGTCGTGCTCAAAGTACTTGATACAAAATTAATTAACAGCAATACCTTGTATTCTTGGTTCTTTCGGTAAAGTCACGTAGAAGGGAAATAATAAAATAATAAAAATAAAGCAATAAAATTCTCACGACGTTTCGATTGCAACACAAGCAATCATCATCAGGTGTGAAAACCACAGCAAGAAAATGTGAAAAAAAGTTATTGTTTTATTTTCATTATTTCATTATTTCCCTTTTACGTGACTTTACTGAAAGATCCAAGAATATGAATCCCTGCAGTCACGAAAGCTTTAAAGCAATACCTTGCTTGTCTCGCCAAGGAGCATAAACCATCCCGTGACCTCTGGACATTCTCGCAGCGGCTGCTGTTGGCGAGCCATCGGACAAAGGCGGCCACTGCTTAGTGTGCTTTCAGATGCGCTTCTGCGGTCTGGAACTCTCCTCCTACCGATGTTAGGAAGCCACTGGAGTTGTGCACTTTTAAATCGAGATTGAAAACTCATTTCTTTAAAACTGATATGTGTGTTTAGTTTGTTGTCCTTCTCCTGCACCTCCGATTAGCACGGTTGCCTAAGTACGGTGCGAAAGAAGTTCAACATACATACATATAGGGCAGCCTGCGGATCTCTGTAACAAGCGGCGAACATATTACAGCTCGACTATGTCACTGCCCCAGTTTTGACTTGAGTTTTGACTTCCCATATGGACCCAATGTCAGATAAACAAACCCTTACCATGGCAAAAATGAAGAGAAATAAGAATAAATACAATAAAACGTATATTGTATATCAGGGTTTTCCAAACTCCAGTTCTCCCAACCCACCACCACGCTACGTTTACTCCCGATACGAAAACAAAATAACTATCGGTGTTAATAGAGCAGATTCACATTCAGATTGACATCTCAGTGTGCGTGTGCATGCACGCGTCCCACATGTGTGTGTTAAACGTGACGCAAACAGCGTTTAAATGTTTGGCGCATCACGTGGGATGTGTTTAACAATCATCAGGCATGTGCAGCGTGGACCGAGTGTAATTTGTGTTCTAACGGGAAGAAGTAAATTCGTAAACGCGGAAAGGTGGTGATGCATCGCAAGGGATGGATTTTGGGAAACCCTGATGTATGGCTTTGGTTTTAATAATTATTATTTCTATTATCACTGTCATGCACAGTAGAGAGGATTCAGCATACGGAATTATATGCTACAAATTCTTATTAATATGTGAATGCTAATTAGGCACCCAAAGGTCACTGGAACTCCATCGCAGGTCACCCTGTGGCTAATGCGGCTGAATATGACTACAGTCACTACACGTGCTTTTCCTTTATTGAACACAGAATATGATATGCTCGTAATTTGAACCTTGACCTGGTAGCTGTATATTTTAAATTATTGTAATAATATTATGCAAAGACAAAATGCCTCGCGAAGCCTCAATACTTTTTTTCCAGTAAAGTTCTATTGTTGAGATTTTTATACAATTACATCAATGCATGCTTAGGCGTATCGGAGGAAACCACGGCACACCACCAAAACCCCCCACACGCATACGAGGGGCACCACTCTACATTGCTATACTCTGGGCACCTCTCAGCCCCATGCTTGCAAGTAGTGGATATACTAACTGGTTTACTATAGCTGGAGCCAACTTCTTCGTAGGATGAACGTTAATGGGCTGGAAAAAAATCTCAAAATATATTCGACAACTACAGAGCTTTGGAAATTGTTGGTGCCGGCTCATGCCTGGTTGCCTATCCGCTTGGCTGTGGTTCGTATGTATGTATGTATGTTGTACTTCTTTCCCATGCTAATTGGAGGTGCGGGGGAAGGACAACAACACGAAACACAAAAAGCAGTTCTAAAGAAATTAGATTACAATCTATTTCAGAAAGCCTCAGAAGCGCATCTGGTTGCGAGATGCCCTTTGCATGAAGAACGTGATATAAAACTAAACATTATTACAGACTTTGGCATTGATTGATGTTGGTCTTCATTCCTTTTTAAAGGCAATCTGAATTCACTACAGCCATTCATATCCGATTTGATGCCACTACTACCACCAGTGATTGCTACAGGGACGAACTGAATCCCTGCTACTGCTACCTTCGTGATCGTTTCTGTCTAGAAACGTCTTCTAAATTCCGCCTCGGATTTCTAGAATGCAGTCTACATGGTTGATTGGAGAGATGGGCCTCCACATATAGTCCCTGCCATGGTAATGTAGAGTTAACTACTGCCTCGGGATTTTCAAAGGTTAATGATCAGCACCAAATAGAGTATGCACTTGAGCATTGAGACACTTTGATTTCTGTTTGATGTTGAATAGTTTTGCCAAATCAGAGTTAAAATGTCTCTCTCTCTCTACAAATGAACACGAGGCAAGGATCATTCTAGTTTATCACCCTGAACCAATGGCAGAAATTGTACATTCCTATAGCAGGGGCCAGCACACCCACATGGTTTCTACGCTATCGTAAAAAATCTAATTTTCAGAAGTACCAAACAATAAACCATTCATGTAAAGAAATTCCAGTGCCTCCAGTATCCCCCCCCCCCACTTTTCTTGCACTTAATTTCTGAAAAAGCATGCAGATGTTTTTTTTCAAATAAAACTTATCAAGATGTTCGAACGGACAGATTGCAAACACTGAATACGCATTCATTTTCAGCTACAGTTACAGTGTCAGTACACATAACGACTATTGACACATCGCACCGTGTGGACTTCGAGTAACATGGAATCATTTTTAAACAGTATTATTCCAGTATTTACTTATAAGTTAAATTTATTTCATTAAATGAATTTAATTTATTTTATTTTGTACCTACGTGACTTTACCGAAAGAATCAAAGAGTATGTATTCCTGCAGTCACAAAAACTTCAAATTAGTATTTACTTACTCTACACCTACAGATGTGAACAGTGCAAGAAACAATGCTCCTCCTAAGATAAGTATTGGGTTTACAGAGAATGTACCATCATCTACAGCAAGTGTAACAAGACCTCGAATTATGGAATAGGGTCAAACATTTCCAGCGGGTGAGCCACCAAAGGAATTGCCTTTTCACTGCTTGGGTTCGGGTTTTATCACCAGCCAAGTGGGGCACATGCTGCAAACGACTGCCAGTTTAAATTGTAATTCTTGTCATTTTATAACAGTGCCACACACACACACACAGACAAAGATCCCCCGTATAGCCTTAACAAACTGTTGGAGCAAGTGCTGTTAGCGAGCACCTATGAAGGCCGGCACAGAACACGAGGGAGTGGGTGGCCAGCACCACGCTCGACTGCCTTTGTCTCCCGAGTGGCGATGTTTACACACCGCACAAGATACTCATTTGAGGCTGAGTCGATCTAGGGGAGGCCCAGGACCGGTTCAGATAATCATCAATGGTGTTGGCCGTGAGTGGGAATCGAACTCGGGTCGCCGGGTTCATAGTGCAGCGCACTAACCGCAACACTACAGCCACACACACGCGTGCATACACACGCACACGCACATAAATGCACACACACAATGCAAATGCCGCAACGATGCGGTGAGATTCTGCTTGGGCAGAAAAGTGAAGGCCAGACCAAAGGAAAAATAGGGCACATGGCAAACACTGATAAGAGCACTCTCCCTTGTGTGAATTTGAGCCTGGCAGTTTGTGTAATTTGCTTTCAATATTTATAATCCAAGCTTTGTGAGTCTGATTGTCCATTTGTCCATTGGGCTCTATGTTACCATTGAGCATGAGGTGTATATCAGCAATTCGTGCACCACCTTCAAAAAACGGGAACCCCACTCTATATGTCAGGGAGGAGTTCCTGGGACATGTTACTTAACTCGAAACTACTTAAAAAGAACTCTAATTTCTCACAGATATTATATTAAAATCAGGGGTTGTGTTCCTAGTCAATATTTATGGATAGGTTTAATTATCAAATGTCATGAAGTGTACAAAAATGCTTACGATTATTGATTAACATAAATTTCAACTAATAATAAATACATATAATTAAATAACACTTACCAGAGATGGTTGAAGAGCTATGCAGATTCTGATCTTCAATCCAGACACTTAAAAGTATTTCCATATTTTTTAGAATTCCACATTTTCTGTAAGAGTTATTTTAGTGCCAGTTAAAGGTGCCACGTTTTGAGCACATTCTAGAAAAAAATTATTCCGCATAAACTTAAATAGTTCTCGCCGAAGCTGTCAATAGGCCAAGATTTATTGCAATATCACCAGCTTGAAAACACTGTAAAACTTCTTATTTACCCTCTAAATGAATACTTTTCCTTTGCGTGTTTTTTTTTTACTTTTACCAGGGGCACTATCATAATTTATAAACCGTAGCACCTTACGCTATATCCACCTAACGCGTGCGCAGTGCCCACACGAAATGGAAGTGGAGCTGCATGGCATAGACATTTTCGACGGTATGCACTACGCTTGTATTACATTGCAAAATAGAGCTGGGCCCAGCCAGCTTACAAGGCGTTTAAGTACCTCGGGGTCTCTTTTGCGAGTAATGGTAAGTTGGAGCGGAAGATCGGCTGGCGGATTGGTGCGGTGTCCACAGTGTTGCGGGCGCTGTACCCTTCCGTGGTAGTGAAGGGCGAGCTGAGTTCTCCAACAAAGCTCTTCGTTTACAGGTCGATCTACGTTCCCACCCTCACCTATGATCATGAGCTTTGGGTAATGACCGAAAGGATGAAATTGTGGGTTCAAGGGGTCGAAATTCGGTTTACTCCACAGGGTTGCCGGGCTCACTCTCCGTGATCGGTTGAAGAGCTCGGTAATCTGGGAGAGCCTCAGAGTTGAGCTGCTGCTCCTCCAGATCGAGATGAGGCAGTTGAGGTGTTTCGGGCACCTGGTAAGGATGCCCCCCAGTAGACTCCCCCTGGAACTCTACCGGGCAGCAGCAGCACGGCCCACTGGGCGAAGACCCCGGGGCCAGCCCAGGACACGCTGGCAATACTATGTCGCTCGGCTGGCCAGAGAACGCCTGGGGATTCCCCAAGATGAGCTAGATAGAGTTTGTCGCCAGGGAAAGGGAAGTCTCGACCGCCGTGCACAACATGTTGCCGCCGCGACCCTTACCAGGGCAAGCGGATTGAGAAACGAACGAACGAACGTTCCAAGTAAAAAAAATAGCGAAAAAAATGCGCGATAACAAAAAAGCATTTGCAAAACATTACACTTAGAAGGAAATATGTTCCCGAATTAATCAGCAACGTATACGTAATTCCTGTACATTCAAAAGAAAATGTTTATGTAGGCTAAGCAAGTGCATATTTTAACTATTCCTTTCCAATGTGGAAATTCCACAAATCTATGTTAGGTGTGAGTATATCCATGGGGGAACAATAACCTACATCCCATAATGCAATGGTACCTATTTTATTGACCCTGCAAGACATGTAATAGAGTGATGAGATGAGCATGTGACCCACGGTCAGGATGTGAATTTGAACCCTTCCAATTTTGAGCCACACACTCACCAGAACGATACCATTGAGAGAGAAATCCAGAGTAACCTTTCTCTGGGGGGTCACTGTAATGTACACAAGGCATACCTATGCATGTACACACAACAACACAAATAATGCAACAAATAATAACCATCATTTGGCACTCGGTGAAGCAATATCACCACAAATATGTGTCATGCTGTGTGCAATTTGAGGCCATGCAGGGTGGCCAATGGCTTGCGTACAGAAAATGTGGTCTTGGGACAGGCGTTTGGCGCAACAGTCCACAGCCCAGTAAACATGGGACGTTGAGCCAATGTTAGTCCAACCAAATGCCAATACTGGCCCAACGTTGCATGTTTTACTGAGAGTGACTGGCAGATGGACCACCTATGCGCCTCACTGTGCGAACTTGCTGCGTTTTATCTACTCGACACACTGCTGTTGTTGTCAGGTTATTTTTGCTACACATCCCAGTGTTGCTGGAGGGCCGTTGGCCGCTGTCCAGTAGCATATTTCGTGAGCTCAATCTATAAAGTCTGATTTTAACGCCGCTGGTAACTCGTCCACTAAGGTCTCAGGACGTTCTGTTTTGCATCTGCCAATGTCTTCTCTCGCCTGTGCTGTATTTGTTTTATCATCATAATAATAATTACGTCACGTACATCCATTGCAAATCGAAGATCAGAATGATGAAGAAGGTTTAGTCTGATTAGTGATTCATTGGTAGCTGATCTGTAAGCAGCATCACAGTCGTACAAAAATGGGTAGAATGATAGCTTCAAAAATTTTCAGGTGCAATCGAATGGGAAAACAATGTTTGTTTCCGTATGAAAAAAAACACCTTGTATTTCATGAGATTTTATTTGAGATGTGATCAATATGAGGTTGGAATGTAATTTTTGAATCAATTTGAAGCACTCCATTTGTTCAATGATGTTGTTTCTGATATTCGTAGTTGGTGAAGGGAATGAAACTGGAATATTGTTCGAAGAAAAGAGAAAGATTTCGTTTTTTGGGGGATTTAGAAGCAATTTCAGTGATGGCAATTCATACTGAATTAAGTCGAAAAATCATGTTGGAGATTCTGTTTGACTTCATATGGAAATTTACCCGATACTAGCATGACAATGTCATCAGCAAATAAATTTAATTCTGAGTGATTTAAGTTTAATCCAAAGTTGTTGAGATATCAGGAGAACAGAATTTGACCCAGCATAGAACCCTGTGGACGAGATGTAATCACTATGTACCTTTTGAGAACAGTCTGAAAGGTAACTGCTAAATCATTTTATTTTACTGTCTAAAAACTGAAAATGTTACTTGACCCAAGTCTAGTGAGTAGAATTACATGGTCAACAGGATCAAAGGCTTTTGACAAGTAGAGGAATAATGCACAGGAGTAGTGAACTTTATCCAGGTTACTGAACAGGAAAAGTAATACATCCATCATTGCTGCTGTGGTGCAGTAATCCCCTCAAACAGTTATCGTCTCAAATAGCCGACTGTTTACTGTGCAGGAGATTGTGGCTTTTTCGGTAGCAGTTTATTCGTGATTGAAGTATTTTTGGAATATTTTAGCAACCGGTGAAAGAATAGAGATCCGCCTATAATTACAAAGTTTTCTGTGCAGACATTTTTATATATGGCTCAGGGAAAATTGAGAAATCTTGAGAAATCACATGGCATTGATCTTGACTTTAAATACTGTGTCACCACAGTATGAACAGGACAAACCAACCACAAGCGCACACACACACGAAGACACCGACATAGTCTTCTTGGTTCTTTCGGTAAAGTCATGTAGAAGGGAAGTAATAAAATAATAAAAATAAAACATAATAAAATAATTCTCACGACGTTTCGGCCACAACGCAAGCAGCCGTCCTCCTGAGGATGGCTGCTTACTCCCTTCTACGTGACTTTACCGAAAGAACCAAGAAGATGAATCCCTGTAGTCACGAAAGCTTTCAATCGAAATTTACACCGACATAGCTCAAGATGCATACCTTTGCAGACGGCCAGGCTGCCACTCCATCTCCCCTCTTTAGTGCACAAGCGGTGGTTTGGAGTAGACGGGTCCAGTGTGTAGCCAGGATGACACTGATAGCTCACGTTGTGGCCAAACGTGAAGTCAACACCGATCCTTATCGCGCTGGCAGGTGTGCCGGGGTCACCGCAGCTCACCACTAAAAGCACAGATAGCAAATTCGGAGATAAATTAATCAGGGCCCATGTCAAGAGCTCATTAGAGTGGCCCACCATCTGGCTGTAGCTCATCACCTTGGATACCAACCTCTGGGTGCCACTCCAAAGTCCGTCTCTCTCCTCCTTCCACTCATCACAGCCGATTTTACGATCACATCTACGACGCCCTCATGACATGCATCATTCGGAATTTGCCAGTTGTTTCACCCACCCTACCACGATCTCTGCAGCATTCTCCACATGCAACTGGATTCGAGAGACAGATTACATTGGTCATGGTCAACCCATGGTCAACCCACTGCTGGATGAAGGCCTCCCCTGGCCGCCGCCACTTCTCAATGTACTCATCCACCTGGCATTGCGCAGCAAAGAACTAAATACATAAAAACAACAAACACTTTTCTAACTGAAAGTGGGGCACTAGTAATACACTATTACTCCAAGTGATGTATTATATTAAGGTAGAATAATTGAAAAAACTATAATCAAGCATGGAAGTCAGTTAAGTTATAAATGACCCGCATTAAGAATGGTCCCCACCTAATGATAAATTACTTTAATATAATGGGCATTTAAATGCAATTCTAACACTGTTCATGCTGACTCTTGACCAACCATGATGTATTTATACACTATCGATATGTATAGAAATATTGTGTGTATATCTTCTTGGTTCTTTCGGTAAAGACACGTAGAAGGGAAATAATAAAATAATCAAAATAAAACATGATAAAATAATTCTCACGACGTTTTGGCCACAACGCAAGCAGCCGTCCTCAGGTGAAGACTATACACCAATACAGTATATAATTTAATGTTGGGTTTGTCTATGGCAGCATATAGTACGGGGTAGACCCGTGTGATGTAAGAGGAAAAAGTTTAGCTGGAAGCATATTATATTTTTTGCGACATAGAATTGTAATGTATTACTTACTGTTAGTAGCTCAGCTTATTGGAGAGTATATTTAGTATACTGATGATACTATGTAGTTTATACTTTTTTACGTGGTTGTTTAGTTACTGCAGCTACATACTACTAACATTCCTTCCCTTTATTAATGCTACCCCTATCCCCTCCTTTGATGCTGCTAATCCTGCATAATTCACGGGCATAATATGACTTTGAAAACCCCCCGCCCACCTTCTACGCATTTCACAAGTAGTACTAATCACATACCTGCATTTCCCATAAATATGCTAAATTCCTCTTGATATGCAAATTATTTTGTCAAGGCGCCCTTCCCCCCTTCCAACCCAGCTTAAATATATGCTCCAAGCGTGGTGATGTTTCATTCAGACGCTGTCTACCCGACAGACCTGGTCTTCACGTGAGGACGGCTGCTTGCGTTGTGGCCGAAACGTCGTGAGAATTATTTTATTATGTTTTATTTTTATTATTTTATTACTTCCCTTCTACGTGACTTTACCGAAAGAACAAAGAAAATTAATCTCTGCAGTCACGAAAGCTTTAAATCGAAATTGTGTGTATACTTTTTTTTTCATTTTAAGTATATTTTTAATGCTTAGGGGCTGGTTTTCTATTCAATATAAACATTATTATCATTGGCATACATGATCTACCAAATGATGGATGAAGGCCTCCCACCTTAAGCGGTCACCATCTCTCACAGAGTCTCGCATTGCAACAATTCATGCAGCTCTGGCACACGAGCTAATTCAATAACTCCATCTTTGCTGTGGAGCAGGTATACTCCTTTGGCTACCACTCCATCGACTCACAATTCTCAGCAGTCAATGCGATGTGTCTAACTTGTATATGTCCTCTACTGGGGGAGATGTTAACTACCTTGCCTCGTATACAGGAGGTCGTGGGTTTGATCCCGACCCCGACGCCTGCATATTTGGAATTTGCACGTTCTCCCCGTAGTCGCGTGGGTTTTTCTAGGGTTCCTTTTTTGTTTCCTTCACGTTTAGAAACATGCGTTTACAGTATTTGGCTCCTATAAATTTCAACACGATAAGCCACTTTGTTGAGCTATCATTTGTGACCAGGTCACTTCTGAATAAGTATAACCCGTAAAAACAAAGTTTTTCACTATAAATCCTTTATATGCATGGCAGCGAACTTAATATAAAGGATTTTAAAAATATATTCGCCTCTGGAGGACGCAGGGATCGATCCCGCGACCTTTGGCATGGGAAGCGAGGGCGCTACCAACTGCGCTACTCCGCCACGGCCTGTGGAGGGGTTACGCTCTTGGCTCTTACACTCTGACGTTCAGCCAAAGCCATGAATTAGTTCTATTTGAATATATGTAAAATAAATTTTTTTGCCTAAAAAGTGTAACATTTTGGGAATTTTTTTTTCACGAACAATAATTGTCTGGCACAACGAGTCTGTGTGGAAAATGTCAGCTCGATTGGATCACGGGAAGTGGGTTAAAAAAACGACCGAAAGATTTGCACGGGCCTAAGCAAGCAAGCAAGCACGCGAACTTAATATAAAGGATTTAAAAAGAGCAATATCGCTCATTGGGCTTAACGTGGTACATTTAAAAATAGTTTAGTTTTAAGTATTACTCCATGCATTTAGCTTCCTCAGTGCAATTCCATCCACGCTTCTGGCGCAAGTTTCAGCTTTTCTTCTATATTCTCCGTCGATGTCCATGTTCCAGATCCATATGACATGGCAGGTAATTTGCACTTGTTAAATATCAGCTAATAGAACAGTGTACAAAAGGTAATCTATATTAAAATTTGCATGTGTTTTCAAGGCTCCACAATCGAAAGGGCAGTCTGTAACGACAAGTCAATCCAGGTGTATTTTTATCTGCCCTTGCCATTCACTGAAACGTTCGCCGAAGATATATACTTCTGTTATGAGGCAGGCAGTGTGTTTAATGATGCAGGTGGTGAGTATTTTGTTGTTGATGTCTCAAGTTTGTTGTTGATGTATCTTTCCCCCCATTGTGCCATCAGTGTCATCGTCATGAGACAAAGCATCCAATAGTATCTCTCACACAGCCGTGCAACCCGATGGAAAATAAGAATAGATGTTACCCTCTCTGGCAATAATACAGGTGTTAAGATGTTCAAACACCCAACAGATACTTTCGCAGCAGAGACAGCCTTCTTCATGGACTAGTCTCACCGGTGTCAGACCAGAGAATGCCAAAGGGTGAACACTACAAAGACAATTCCACACGTATCAGAGCATTTATAGCTCGGGGTGAGCAACCATATCATCAGTGTAACCGTTCATGGTACAGAATGGCTCACCGAAGTTATATATCACAGAACTAACCCTGTGATCCCTTCAAGTTACTGCTGTTCGACACACCCCTTTCCCACTCCACTCTTCATATGAGAGCAACATTCATCGCATACAATTAAACCCGACATTCCAACTCTCAGAGCCTAGAATGCGTTCAACTAGTTAAGTGCGAGACATTTTTATGTTACGGTGCTTTGTGGAGTCATTGGTGACTGGGTTGAGACTCAAGAACGGCGGTTTAATCGCAGGCAGCAGCCTGGGTTCAAACCGATGATCTCAGCGGTGCCAGCCCATCCCTCTGAAACTCGGGAGCCAATGAACCATTGCAGTACACCGTTGACCTGTGGTTTTTCTCACCGATGCAGCTGGGCAGGACGCCGGTCCAGGTCCCGTTGAAGGTACAGGTGCGAGTGCGTGTTCCCAGCAGCTGGTGACCCTCCCGGCAGGCGTACGACACGGAGGCGCCGAACTGGGTGCTCCCAACTGCCTGCACGATGGCTCCGTTTTGGGGCACGCCGGGGTTCCTACAGGACACGGCTGGGAGCCCGCGGAAAAGGGTGACACACACAACAAAGACAATGATTGATCCCCCCGTATAGCCCTATACAGACTGTTGGGGCAAGTGCTGCTAGCGAGTTGGCATCTATGAAAGCTGCCACTGGTACACGTGGGGGTGTGTGGCCAGCACCATGCCCTTTGTCTCCCCAGTGCCAGTGTTTTATACACACTGCACCATGTACTCATGTAAGGCTGAGTCGACCTAAGGGAGGCCCAGGATCCGATGCCAATATTCGTCACTGCTATTTGGTTGTGAACGGGAGTTGAAACCGGATTGGTAAGGCGGCGCGCTAACCACTGCACTACGGCTCCCCACATACACAACACACTCACATGCCACTTGATACCGGGTGAGACACATTGAACTGAGAAGCTCTTTTTCAATGGCGACATGGCCAAAGTGGCTGATACTGCAGCAGGCAAGTCAACTGGGAAGGGAGGGTTTACAGAGGCTGTATTGAACTAAGTAGGGAATGTTTTTAAACATGATTAATATTTAATAGTAATAAAAATTATAAACAATCAGAACTGCGTACCGTGGAAATCTAGTAAGCAATGTCACAATAATGGTATTCATGACACTCGTGACAGGAACTCGCATATGGCATTGATAACACCGTCCCCAGTTTAGCCTCACGTGGTAGATAAGGCGCAGCCCTACAAGTGCTTGCTCACACCACTTTTGGCAGAAGGGCCTCCACTGGGGCAAGTTCTAGAGAGCCCCTTATATGGTATTTGGCCTACTGTTCCATGCTGACCAAACATTCGAAGAGGCGGGATTACCCACTTAACTCGTGCTTTAATCATTCATGCCCAGCCGTGATGGAACCTATCAGCAGATATCCCCATTTGGCAGTCGGATCCCAGCCACATAACGTTGATATATGTTTTGGGGTTAGGCCATGTGGTAGTTTTTAAGCTAAAATTACTGTAATGAACCCTCCACCACCTCACAAGATTTTCACTTTCACAAATATATTATTTATACATGGCCAATGTTTTAATTAAAATCTGACGGATAAAGTTCCTCATTGCCGGCGGCCTAAGGCTTTTCATGGCCAAAGTTGACGTCAACATATGGCGAAGTTTCACTCAAACCGCTGAGCTTCGACAGGTGGCGAGCTTGGAAACTCACGCACAACTTCCAAAATACGAATCGTTGCATTGGCTGTGAAAAATCTACGTTTCAGGTCAACATTAAGGTATTTTTTTTTTTTACCAGGTAAGGCCCCTGAGCTATATAGCTCTTTTTCAGAAGCGACCTGGCCACAAATTATAGCTAAATATGGAGGGAAAAACCGAAGGACCCGGAGAAATATTGACGCGACGACGGGAAAAACATGCAAACTCCAAATATACAGGCGTCAGGGTTGGGATCGAATCCGCGACCTCCTGCATTCCAGGCGAGGTATTTAACATCTCGCCATTGTGACGATCTTTACCTTTGCACTCAGGCTGGAATCCAGTCCAGCTTCCATTGGCCAGGCAGATGCGCTGCTCTGGTCCCTTGAGCAGGTAACCCTCCTCGCAGGTGAAGCGCAGGACGCTCTTGGCCTTGAACTCGGCCCCGTACCTCGAGCCGTGGACAGGAATGCCCGGGTCTCCGCAGAATCCAGGGCTCGTGCCTTCCGCACTGCAACGCACCAGCAGGCGGTCACTCTCTGAAACCATCGCCAACCTCGCACAAAGGTCAACGTTCAAAAGCAAAGTTGTCTGCACGCTCAAGGCAGTTCAAGGCGGTGCGCGTCTCGCCTGGTGAAGAGAGAGGTTGCGCAGTAGGTTAAGCGAGCTGCGCTACAAACCCAGCAACACGAGTTCGATTGCCGCTCATGACCAACAACAGTTATGATTATCTGAAACGGTCCTGGGGCTCTCTCAGGTCGACTCGGCCTCAAATGAGTACCTGGTGTGGTGTGCAAAATTATCACTGGGGGAGACAAAGGCGGCCGGGCGTGGTGCTGGCCACCCAACCCCTCGTGTGCTGTGCCGGCTTTCATAGCTGCTACTCGCGAACAGCACTTGCCCAAATAGTATGTTCAGGCTATACGGGGATCTTTGTCTTATGTCCCACGTAGTGGCCCTGAGTCTGTGGGGGAAAATTGCAAATTCTCAAGACGGGGCTAAGTCTATCCATAGTCAACATTTTTTTACTTGCCACAAAATGGTACTCTGTGATTTATCAACCCAGAGTGATGATGGGCTGAGTTAAGTGTCAAACAGAAATATTTAATATACATTGCCATACAAGCCACGTAAAAGTCGACAGTAAAGTGAAAAGTAAAATGTTCTCAATGGAGCAAGAGAGCAATTTTCCATTTCCGTTGGGTGGCCCTTATGAAGTGGTGAAATGTCTACACTCGTATAACCATAAGCCAAGCAATGCTAACCTTTCTCAAAGTTAAATATTCATTTCATAAACTCTGCAGGGATGGCGAGTGACTGACAGAGACGCCCAGCTGAGATATCACTCTGGACTCTGATGTTCGAATTAAATGCGTGAACTTGGAATTGCACTCAGGGACGGAGAGAGGTTGCACGTGGATCGGAAAACAAGTTCGTAAATATATTTATCTGCCTGAGGATGCCTCCAACGTGGGAGGCGATACGCCACAAAGGAGAAAGGAGCAGTGCTCGTCACGGCTATCCTGAAAGAGCAGCTTTTAAGAGAATTTCCCAATATATTGACCGTAAATAAAATTAACCCTTTTCCATTCCAAGAAATCTGCAAGTTGCAGGGTAGGTCCCGTTCACCACTAAATTGCATTGAGAGGCGTAACGCCGTTGTTGTTAAAGACATTGTACTCACCGCAGAGAACCGTAGCGACACGACCGCACTCTATAATAGTTGGTGCCAAACTGTGCCACATTCCCTCCCGCACGGCCTTGTGGGAGCCTCAGTACCGAGAAAGTTATTTTATTTTTTATGATGAAGTACACGTACGTCGTTCTAATGAACGTACCTCATCAGCATGTAAAAAGGTTAAGTGGTCTTGGGCAGGACAACATCGCTTAGAGAGACGATGTATTGTGGTCGAGACTAATAATGGCGTGGCAGCCAAAGTAGAGTTACACATCCCAGAGGCCATAAGGACATGGAGCGATGAAATCAGCTTATGCATAAGACCTAGATAAACTGTTGTATCGCAACATGATTTAAACTCATTAACAATCATTTGTGGATCATGAGTAGTTCCCTAGCTAGCATTTGGCAAGTACCGAGCCCTTGTTTTGGCTTTGAAAGAGGGGGCCCAACTGTTTCAGCGGCGATCGCTTTCCATTTGACATCGCCGTCAACCTCCACTCGCGCGGTTATAAAATGCTCCGGAGATTCACGCTCGGCAAGTTCCTTGAAAAAGGTTTCTATTTGGTGTTTGAACATTTTAACACCTGTTTCTATTGCCAGAACGGGTACAACCCATTGTTATGTTTTCATAAGTTCCGCAGTGTTTAACGTAAACGCACGTTTGCTACTCACCGTTATAATGCTGTGCATCGTAACGTCAAGGCACGTGGCCGTGTAAAAAAAAATGCCACTGCATTCTGTTTATTTTTTTGTGCCGGGGCTTGGCCGTTACATTTATGCTCCTTCAAACATGACTGCAGCTCAAGGCTGGGATTTAAGAATTTAAACGTGTTTTAGGCAAAAGGAATGCCAATTGGCAGACAATTGCAACTGTGACAGGGACTTTAATGAGCTCTGCATGTTAGGCAGTTACAACTTTGAGCGACAAGCAAAAGCTTGCATGCAGATTTAAAATGAAAGGCTGTTTCGACGTCTTAAAATAAAAGCACAATTGCAGGATTCTCAACACACGTGTTCAAGGGCAACGCTCTTAAGATGTCCACTAATTGTTAAAGCTTTCGTGACTGCAGGAACACATATTCTTTGGGTCTTTCGATAAAGTCAAGTAGATAGGTTCAAAGAAAGTAATAAAATAACAAAAAAACTGCGATGTTTCGATCGCAACACAAGCGTTTGCAAATGTTGGAAACGAAACAACCGCTTATGTTGCGATCGAAACGTCGTGCTTTTTTGTTATTTTATTACTTTCTTTGAACCTATCTACGTGAATTTACCGAAAGGCCCAAAAAATATTGAGGAAAACTTCACCGAGTTTCAAGACGTTTTCACGAGGGTCGAAATGTTGGAATGTTTCGTAAATGAGCTATTGAATGATGTGCATGAGAGGTAACCGTGTTAATCATAACCAAAGCGTGGGGTGATACATTGGCTGCATACACAAAAAGACAACTGGATTTATATTTCTGCCATTTAGCATTAAACATAACACAATTACCGCGACCACAAAAGTTTGTTTTCTTCTTCAATAGCTTTCGCCTTTAGAATGCGAGAAATCTCACAATATTCACTGACCCACAACGCTGAGGTCACACTATGCCCTTATCTCAGAACACGATGTTCACGTTACGGCAATATTTGAAAAACAGATGAAGTGGTTATCGTGGTGCTTATATTGTATGATATATCTTAGTATCGCCATACTATGGCAACCCTACTAAGTAGAAAGTAGATAAATGAATAGTGTATTGCCATTACTATTTAATCACATTTCATATTTGATTTTTAATCATTATGTCAATCTCCTGTATGCCAAAGCTTTATTTAATATTATTGCACGACTTAATTACATGTCATAAATGTAAATTGGACTCCTGACTACTTCATTTGTACACCAACTGATGAATTGGATTTTCTATTGACCCAGCGTCATCTTCACCAGTGAACCCTTTACAAACAGCGTGCACTTGCACATACGGCCAAACAACATGTGAATAAAAGCGCCTACTGTGTGGGAAGCTGCTTGCCGGGCCATAGGTTCACGGGCAATTGGAAGCCATTATTTATACGAGACCATTCGTTCTGAATAACAAGAGTGCACTTACACAAATGTTAGTGTGTGAGTTGTGCGTGTGTCATTGTGGGGAGCGGTTGTGTAACGATTGGCGCGCTGCGCTACGAGCCCCGCGACCTGAGTTAGATTCCTGCTCATGAGCAACACCAGCCACGATTATCTAAATCGGTCCAGGGCCTCCCCTAGGTCGACTCATCCTCAAATGAGTACTTGGTGCGTGGTGTGTAAACATCGCCACTGCAGAGACAAAGTCGGCCGGCAGTGGTGCTGGCCACCCACCCCCTAGTGTGATGTGCCAGTCTTTCAGAAGTGCTCGCTAACAGCACTTGCCCCAACAGTCTGTTCAGGCTATAGGGGGATGTTTGTATTTGTTATTGTGGAGAGGGGTGACAGTGGTTAATGCATAGTGGAGTAAGGAACACAACTTACATTTGATTCCTGGTCACTGATAACATCATTCATATAAGAACTTGGCCTGGGGCCTCCCTTAGGCGACTCAACGTTAAATGAGTACCAGATGTAGTAAACTGTGTACATTTTATACATTTATTTATTATATTTATTTATTATATTTATTTATTATATTTCTGTACTGTGAGAGATTGCCGAGGATTGCAGAGGCCTCAATTCAGCAATGCATTAACCATGGCTGATGAAGACAATGACAATGATGGTGATGAATTTTTAAATAACCACAGAATGCCACATCCTCCCAGGCAAAGCTTAATTACCATGTACACAGTTTTCAAACCAGAGTTGTATTTTTATATTTGCGGAAGCTTTTACAGAAAATAGCGAATTATATTTTAGCTTTGTCCGGCTTTGAGTGGTATTACTGTGTCCACAGCTGTCCTGTGCCTTCCTTCAGTTTACTCACCCGTAAATGTGCACAAGCACACTTAAGAATAACAACTCAACACTGCCGTGTTGGCGGTAACACTGCCTTGAAATGAAAAATATACATGAGAGAACGTGTTGGCCAATGGTCCTTAATTACGGCACATAAATAATGTGTTTTATGTGCAATTAAGGATGTCTATTGCCCAATACGTCATCTGTTATATACATATATGTTTCATTTTAAGCCCACAGTCTTATTGATGAATGTGTTTGGTTTTTTTAAATTGTGCCTGGTTTGTGATGTGAACATCACCGCTGGGCATACGGAAACAAACGGGGGATTGGTTAGTTTAACATGTAGGCTTTCGCACACCATCACACACATTAGGATTGCCACTGTGTCAATTCTTTCCCAGGACATTAAAATTTTAGTTTCTTTTTGTCAGTTGCTTTTGAGTAATACACCAGTTTAACACGTAGGATTTCGCGACCAATATCATCCATAATAGTTTTTTGGGGGGGTTAGATCACGTAAATATAAATGTGTTGTTAAACCTGCCACCACCCGACACAACTAAAGAGTAAGGTTTGGCATGTAAACAGAACGTGCCAATTCGTTACTAGTACAGCACACCGGTGTGTTGGAGAGCAATGGGTGCTCGCGAACAGCACTTGCCAGAACAGTCCGTTGAGACTAATGCAGGGAATCTTCTTTGTATTTTGCATGAGTGCACGTGTTACTGAACTTCATGAGCTATTCATGTGGAGTGGAGTGGGGGGGCGGAGGGGGGAGTCATTAACGTGTGAATGAAAGCACCAAAACACGCACGCAGCTTTGGGTCCATCCATGCGTACGGATGCACTCCCCGTACATTATCCCCAATGTTATGAGCTGACAATTTTGACTTTGAAAGCGTGCTCTGTATTATCGCTGGCCTTGTAATTTAATGAGCCCTAAGAACACAGCAATTCGCCGTTTCAAGGCTGGTCGCAAGCATTCATGCACGCCACCGACCAAGTTGACAAGCTGCTTTGAGAGACGCAACAATGAGAGGGTGGTTTCAGATTTGCGGTGCCACCGCTGAACGTGATGTGGCAGAACTAAAGTTTGCATTGTGATTGAGCTCCGTTGTCAAAGGGAAGGTCATGAGTGTTTGTTTCATTTGTCCTTGCAGTGCGGGTTTATACATGCGGTTTTGGGGTATGGACTTTAAAAAAAAAATCCCAACAAAGTATGCGCATTTCAAGTGCTCGGTTGCGCCTGTGGGAATAAGATCAATGGGCGAGTGAAACGCTCAGGTTGGACCCTGGGCCTGCGCTCAGGGGAAGGGGGCTTTGTGTGCTGCAAGGTCGATGGTCTCGGTACAGTCACCGATGGCTATGATGCATTTAAGTTGTAGTGAATAACAACAATAACAAAAGACAACTGGCAAGTGCGTATAACCTGGCTGGATACATAATCACTCGGTCAACGTCAGCGGTTCTTTGTTCTCGGCACACTGTGAAGCTTTCGGCCATGGTGTAAATTCCACGTTTTCTTTTGAAGTGCCATTTTTAGATGTTAGATATCACCGTTGGCTTGTGCATTTCATTGACTTTTGAGGGATGATGAGATGTCAACTCTCAATTGAGATATAAGGCAATAGTGGACATTCCACATTACTATGACAGGGAACATCTCTATATGAGTTTACATTTAAAATATGTCCAACATAGGACGTCATAAATAATATAACCGTGCATTGCTGTGGCCAGAAAACTTGATTTACAATTACAAGTTGCAAGTTGAATACACAGTAAATATGTATGTTTAATTTAATTCGCACTATACGTAGCCAACCGTGCTAATCGGAGGTGCGGAGAAAGGACACCAAACGAAACACAAAAAGCAGTTCCAAAGAAATGAGTTTTCAATCTAGATTTAAAAGTGCATAGCTCCAGTGGCTTTCTAATATCGGAAGAGTGTTCTAGACAGCCGTGGAGCGAATATGAAAGCGCACGATGCAGCAGACAGTCTTTGTATGATGGCTAGCCAACTCAGCTCATGTCTCCAGGGCAAATAAAATCGGAAACATTTTTTCGGGGTGAATTTAAAATTGTCCTAGGGAGACATTCTGATTGTGCTATTTCCATCACTGCCTTACAGATGCCAATGAGAATGAGTGTTGCCCCATGCTGATTTGAGCGTGATGGCACGACGGCTTTTGAGAAGTGAACAAGTGAAGTGCTCCTGCAAATAAACTTCAAAAGCAACAATACTTTAACACTTAGACTTTCGCAACCAATATAATGATTCCTAATTGTTTTTTTGGGTCAGGCTGGAGGACATTTTCCCAAGTCCGGCAACTGCTCGATGATACTGCATGTAACTACCAGATAAATGTCCACACCCGATTGTAAAATGTATGTGGATTGATCTCCAACACATTTATGTGCTGAAGCAGTAATAAATTGCCACGCTTATTTATCTTATACCTTTTTAACCCTTTCCTGTTCCGAGACGTCTGCATATTGTATGTGTGGGTGGCCTGTTCTCATCTGAATCTCGGAACGTGCAAGCGGCTCAGCCTTAACTTTATTTAGAGAGACGTAGCGTCGCTGTTTGTAAAAGAAATTGTACTCACCGCAGAGAACTGTAACGACATGACCGCACTCTATGATAGCTTGCGCCAAAATATGCCACATGCCCCTCCCGCATGGTCTTGTGGGAACCTCGATACTGATAAAGTTATTTTATTTACATATTTCTTCCGGGTTTGTTTTGATGACATACACGTACCTCATCAGAATGAAATTGGAATGGGAAAGGTTTAATTGGCTGGTCAATTGGAGGAGGATTTCCAACTTACGTTTTACTACAAGACCTGATCCAAAAATAAATTATTAAGCAACAACACTGTCTTAAAGAATCACAACAAAATCAGTTTCCAGCGGTGCTTTTTTCATACTGAAATTCAAACGGTGGAAAAGGTTTCTAACTTAAAACACGCTTAAAACAACACAACAGACTGACGTTGTAAAAGGTCAACAAACAGTGAGCTTGGAGGCGCCGCTGAATGAGAAACACGCGTTTGGAGTATATGACTGCTATAAATTTCCATGTGATAAACCACTTTGTTGAACCATCATTTGTGGTCAGGTCGCTTCTGGAAAAAAGAGCTATGTAGCTCAGTGGGGCTTACTGGTAAAATAAACAAAAGTTTACAAAAAAATTAGTAACACATCGAACCGCAACACCCGTATCCTCCCACCCTCTCCCCCCCCCTCGGGTAGGCCGGAGAGCGTTACCGGAGCAGTGGGGCGGCGATCCGGACCAATCGCCGTCCGCCTGGCAGAGGCGCGTGGGCGAGCCGACGAGACGGTGGGCTCCCGTGCACGCGTAGCTCGCCGTCGCGCCGTACGTGAAGCGTGTCGCGCTCAGCACGGAGAAGGGAGGCGCGCCCGGGTGGCTGCAGTTCATGACTGGCGGGGGTGGGGCAGAAGTGCGGCGACGGTCAACGCGCAATGGAGTTCACGTCCACACGCGTGTGCGTGCGTGCGTGTCAAAAACGTCAAAACGCTCGGACGAGTGCAGAGCAGTGTCCATCACCATTAATTTGTGAATATTTCACATTCTGATGATGGGAAAAAACTCACACTCGTCAACAACGCTGTGTTAAAATATATATTTTTTATAACCGGTGACGTTTTTGTCAATAATAATAATAGTACAATTTGTAACGCGCGCAAATTTGCAGACGTAGTGGCCGCAACTCAGAGGCGCGGAGCCAAGCTCAGAGTCGCTCAAAAGCATGATTGTAGAGGTGAGTTTTTAAGTGTCTCTTGAAGGAGGCGATTGAGGTGATGCTGCGAATGTGCAGAGGGATATCGTTCCAGACTGTTGGGGCTGCCACCGAGAAGCGGCGCGTAGACATGACCATCAATGGCCATTCTTCATAGCACATACAGCAATGATGTGTCATTCATTTGATTGATCCAAGAAGGAGGAAAAAAAATGTTGGCTCACGACTGAAAATCAAACTCACGACCTTCTGTTGTGAATTCGATGCTCCGAGCACAATGCCACAATCGTCTAATTCATGTTGGGCAACATTTTGTCATATGGAACATTTCAAGGCTGGTAATGTTAGAATTGTTCAGGTAATAGCAACACGTTGCCATTATTGTAAACCATAGTGTATGGCCAGTATGTGTTAATGCAGTAGATTGTGGACAATAAATGTGATTGAATAGAAATGTTTCCCCTATCATCTGCAAAAAAAAATGTTTAAGATCCAACAATGGGCCATCTAGATTAATAATATAAGAGGAAAACTCTGGATCAGCTTTGACTTATCTCAGTTTCATCAGCAGGGTGTAGCCTGCAAAAACAAATATTCCTGGGGTTGCCTGTAGTAATGGGCAGCAGCCCTTCATGAACACCTTGGAGCTGTAAGCAACATTCCAACAAAATGATAGTTGAAGGATTTAAATGTATATTTTATATTGCGGTTGAAATATACACTTTCCTCATCAACATATTTAATGACTTATTTTCAACAATTCACCAAGTCAGGAATCAATGAAATTGTATAACGTTGTGAATTGAATGTGTATCTTGGAGCGTTACAGTATTTGACATTTGAACCTTATGGAGGTACCCCGGGGCTCCATAGTTCCCCGGCTCTCGCATCATGTCCGTGATGCAGTAATTTTTAGTCTGTTGATGGTCGGCGATGCGGCCATCGACTCATCTCGACAATCTGTACACGATGCACCACTATGATGCATACGAGCGTTCAGGGTTTCAGCGTTCCTACACCGCGGAGTAGCACTGATTTCGGATTTATTGGTACCCCAGTCGTAGGGTTAAGTACACCCCTGGAAAAAATAGTGCCCCAGAAATAAAATACTTAATTGCCTCGGCCATTTTGTATTATTTGGTAACCCGGGGTACCGCCATAAGGATCATTTGGTCTTGCCATTAACAGGTAACCCCCAGCAGCATTTGTTTAACAAGTCACACCCAGCCGTTGAGAAACAAAGAAGCGAACACTGGTCTAACAGTTCTTCAAATGGAAGGTCCTACTAATTACCGCGAACACTACCAAAAAATCAGCAAACACATACCGTGCCGGTGTCAAAGTAAATTTAAATACAACGCGTGCACTGCATTATCTACAGCCGGAGGGATCAGCGGCGCTTTTAGATGCCACGTCGCGTCGCACTTCCAAGTCACTCACTGATGCACTGTGGCAGTGGCCGGTCCCAGCGACCATTGGGCTGGCAGACGAGGGCCGAGGAGCCCAGGAGCTGGTAGCCCGGCTTGCAGTGGTACAGCACGGACGTGGCGAACATGAAGTTCTCATTCTTGCTTTTCACTTGCCGGAGCGAGTTTTCCACCTGCCCCGGTTCCGTGCAGTTGATGACTGCGTGGCCACGATAGATGGGGAAGGAGAGAGGGGGATGGATGCAGGGAAGGATATGGTAACCCGAGTCAGGGCTCCAACTGGCATTTTAAAACGTGCAAGGTGTTTACTTGTCACGACAGTGCACTGAGTTGCTCCTGAAGTGTGACAGCGTTAAACATTTAAAATGATCCAATTCGTCATATGGCAAATATCGAAACGTCGTACTCTATTATTTAATTTAAAAAAATTATACGTGACTTTACCGAAAGAACCAAAGAGTATGAAATATGTATTCATTTTTCGTGGAAATTAGGGGCAACGGAGAGCGTTCCATTCACGGAACGAAGGACGCAAGTTAAAATTGCAGTTGCAGGTTAATTTACCTCAACATTAATTTTGCTAGTGTTATTATTTTTCTTATTTACCTAGCATAGCACGGACATGGGTAGGCCTCGGCAAGGTAAGGTAAAAGTTAAAAGGTAAAAACAACGAGCCTACCTTTACCCTACCTTTTACCTTACCACAATACAATCACTCTACCCTTACCTTTTACCCTTTAGCAGGTAAGGTAAAAGGTAAGAAGCAACGAGCTTACCTTTACCCTACCTTTTACCCTTACCCTACATAAATTACCCGATTACAGGGTAATTACTAGGGAACTACTACACATGGACAAGGTTTATAACGGTAAATGCTAGGTAGAGCGCTTCATGCATATAGAATACTCTCGATTATTCCAATTTTACACGCTTGTTGTTGTCGTTGTTGTCGTTGTTGTTGTTGTTGTCGTCATTGTCGTTGTTGTTGTTGTTGTTGTTGTCGTTGTTGTCGTTGTTGTTGTTGTCGTTGTTGTCGTTGTTGTTGTTGTCGTCGTCATTGTCGTTGTTGTCGTTGTTGTTGTTGTCGTTGTTGTCGTTGTTGTCGTCATTGTCGTTGTTGTTGTTGTCGTCGTCGTTGTTGTATCCTCAAATCTTGTAACTAAATATTTACCCACTTCCTAATGTGGCATCGACTGCAAACTTAGTATACTTATGTCATACTGATGACAACACTATATTCTATCATAAAATCCTTTTTAATATGTTATGTTTCGGCTTGGGTCTAATTGTCCACGGTCAACTGACGTTGGCTGTCAATCACCACGGCCCCTTACGTTATGGCAAGCCTTGGGACCACTTCCTGGAGTTGTGGAGTTCTGCCATTACTAGTATCATTTCATTAAAGCGTGTGTTTTTTAAAAGTTTTTTTTTATATTACTTATTAAATGGAGGCCACGGACTGCGCCACGGAGCTTCTAGCGGTAAACAAGGTACCGTATTTACCGGGTAATACTTCGCGCTATCTTTACCCTACCGGGTAATTCTTCCGAGCTACCTTTACCCTACCTTTTACCTTACCCCTTGGCATGTCGACACCTTTACCTTTACCCTTTTACCCGGTAAAAAGGGTGATTTACCTTACCTTGCCGAGGCCTAGACATGGGCCCAGACTAAATTACATGCTTTTTGCACCACCTGTTTTGGTAACACTTGAGTCATACTCATAAATCTACATGTCCAATAAAATTGGGCGATGCTACAGAAGCAAACTTGAGAATCTGGAGGATACCCATGCAGAACAGGTTGAGAATATACCAACTGCGCAGAGAATGGCACCCGAGTCGGACATCGAACCTAGGCCACGCTTGCTGCGTGGCACGAGTGGCACCACTCTGCCACCCAAATGGTAAATCAATGTGGCAACAATAGTGAGGATCACCATCCAGCACTTCTGTGTGCAGTAACTTTATCTCGTGACTGAAAATAATTAGTTTACCACGTAGGCTTTCGCGACCAATATCATCCATAAAAGAGGTTTTCGGGTTACTTCGCGTAAATATATAAATGTGTCGTTAAAATCCGCCATGATGAAGTGAATCATCATATAATAAGTTTTTTAAATGCATGCCTACAAAGGGCAGCGTACTTCAATAGGGATAACCGTTGGTAGGGTTATTTTAATAAACACAATAGGCAGGAAGGACAAGTTCAAAGGGCTCGCATAATGCACATGCATAATGTACGTTGCCTCAGTAATCTCCCCCCCACATTGTGCAAGAGCGCAGAAGGGTGGTCAACACATCTACGCCTCTATATAAGGAACGAAACAGGTGGACATCTCCACAAATCTGGCTGTCACCTGATGAAGCTAGTTGTAATTACTGGCGAAACGTCGTACTCAGATTGTGGCTTGGCTCTCCAACACACCGGTATGCTGGACTAGTGACGAATTGGCATGTTCTGTTTACGTGACAACCCTTAATAGTTGGCTGTGTCGAGTGGTGGCGGATTTATATATTTACGCGATCTAACCCAAAAACCTCTATTATGGATGAAAATAATTAGTCACGAATACATTTTCATTGGTGCTCGTTGCTATTGGCATCCTTGAGCCAGCCATGCAGATTCCACATTCCCGTGGCAAGGACCAGTATAAACAACCTCTATTCATTTCGTAAAAAAGTGGTATAAACACCAGCGACACGGATGATTTGGTGAATTTACCTTCACAAGCATTTAAAAACTACGAGGGCGCTGCGTGTGGGGTAGAAGGTGGTGCAGTGGTAATATTTCTGTCTCACAGCAAGAACAGCATGGGTTGAATCCTGACCCAGGTGTCCCTTTGCAGGGGGTTGCATCTGGCTTCTCTGGTTTTGTCCCGTATTTCAAAATTTCCCATCGCCAAAAAAAAGTACAATGTAACTGACAGTGGCTAATCATGAAAACGCAGAACCCTCCTGCAAAACGAGTCTTCATTTTCAATGTGTCTCTCGTGGACATGTGATCTGTAACTTTGATCATTGCCTGTGTATCGATAGTTCAACGTTAATGTGGGATTTTATTGGTGTGGTCTGGTAATGTTTTGTTTTTGCTGTCTTGCCCAATATTCTTTATTTTGCATTTCTATCGTGTGTTTTTTGTATTGTTTGCTGTTGTAACTTGCCGATCCACCCATACTGGTCATCTGTGAAAAAGAGCTTCATAGTTCATTGGATTCCTCCAGTATAAATAAAAGATTCCGATTCTGCCAATAATAATATTCCATACAGGTTTTTTGGGTTAGATCGCGTAAATATATAAATGTGTCGTTAAACCTGCCACCACCTGCCACAGCAAATAATTAATAATAATATTAACAATAAAACATTGTGATAATAATGTAACATAATAATACATTATTTGTTTTTTATTATCATGATCGAGGTACGAGTGGCAGCGATGATATGATGTCGGCAGGGCCCCCCGGCTCACTCGTGCACGTGGGGAGGGGGGCACTCCACTGGCCGCTGGGCAGGCACTGGATGCGCGCGGGGCCTTGGCGCGCGTGGCCCACGTCGCACGAGAAGTCCACCACATCGTTGAGGTTGTAGCCGTGGCCGTGGAGTGTGCCGTGGGCAGGGCTGCCCGGGTGGCCGCAGCTGATGGCTGAGACGGGAGGGGAGGCAGGGGGGGTGAAGGGGGAGAGCCCGACGCACAGAGAGGGAGGAGGAGCACACACCCACACAGAGGAATAGAGAGGTGTCACGTTTAGTCGTTGCTTAACGCGCGTGGCGTGTTCACACTACGAAGCGTTTTCGCTGTAGCGCGGTCCTGCCATTAGGGACCACTTTTCGCAGAATGCGGAACGCTCCCCCTCTACTCACCCCCCCCCTCCCCATTACGCGGAACGTGCGCCGCTATATGCGCTCGACGACGAACTACTTTCTTGAGTTGGGTGGCTGAGCGGTGTGATACAGGAGGTGGAATGATACAGTGACGCAGCAGCCTACCCTCAGTTATTTGTAATGCCATCTCACAGTAAGTATACATACATCGTTATCTCGTCATACTTTATCGTTACATTATTTTTTGGGGAAATTGTTTACGTCTGACGCGCTTTTTGCTGAACGCGGCACTTTTCAAGAACGCATCTACTGCGTTAAATGAGGAACTATGGTACATATGGAGGAGGCATTTAACCATCGCTAGCCAACGGAGGCGAGCGTGATATAGTAGCGTTCAGATAATCTCGTCAAATTGTCTCCATACTCGAAGGGGCATCGCGCGGTACTGGTGGCCCAGAGCCAGAAGTGCAAATTCCACATTTGCATGGCAGGAGCAATCTTTGACCACTTAGCAGCCACTCTTGCCTTTGTGCAAGTGATATTTTATTTTATCCACCCCAGAGCAATGTTGGCCCAATTTTTTTCCCAAAGTATTTTAAATTATGAGTGCCCTAATCACATCATCACCCGTGCGCATTTTCATCTCCAATTATTTGACAATTTACCTTTATGTCCTGTAAAATACTTCAACATCATACGTTGTATATTTTTAGAAACGTTATATTACATGTATGTAAGCATCTGCTGTTCCCTTATACATTGCATTACCTGCATTCATACCGCTGAGAACAAATGCATTCTAGATTTTAGTTAATATTCCTTCTGCCACGATGTCTCGACATTTTGCAAGGTATAGATAATTTGAGCATTAAATGTTCACTGCATGTTGCCGGTTATCTCTCCAGAGGCATTGAGTCAGTGGATTTTTATGGTAATTTCACTGAACACTTGTTTTATTCCACAGGACATTCAGCGTGCACGGACGTTTTTGCATTTGGACACGACTCAAAAAAGAATAAATTGTAAATTATAATCAACTTCAGACATGAGTGGCATTCTCACATGATTGCCATTCACTTTATTAAATGCAAGGCTGCTGCTTGATTTTTGTCGAAATGAAATTTCTCGTCTTTAATCTCGAAATGTCTCATCCATGAATGTGTCATTGCACCCATGTTGCTAATTTAGGTCAAAGTGTCTCCATGCTCACACACATGGGATTTGGACGGTTTTAATCTCCAACGGATGCATTAAGACGGCAATGTAAATTGCACATTACTATGGCAGTTGCAAGTCTATAGTTAGATGACTGCTGATGACGACGTAGTACGGATTAAATTAATCCTGGAGGAAAGTGGCCTCCTAAAGCATCAACCTGTCGACGATATATTGGGGCCTATTGTGATTTGAACATCTAACTGTAATGATTAAATAACAGTTACAATTTAAATAACTTTAAAAGTATACTTCTAGATGAAAGCCATACCATAGAGAAAAAGTAACACATTCGTCAATAACAATGTGGCCTTAAAAAAATGAACATTTTAAATAGGTGACGTTTTTGGAAATGGCCCTTCTTCATTGAACATAAATAGATATGCCACAGAGACAGTGGATGATACGAGTTTGAGACTGCACTCTCTACAGTGGCGCCTGATGAGAATTACACACTATTTTACTATTTTTTATTTTACTAGATGAGGCGCACTGAGCTATATAGCTATTTTTTTAAAGCGACCTGGCTATCACAAATGATAGCTGAACCAAGTTGCTCATCAAGTGGAAATTTAATGCAGCCAAATACTCTCAACGCATGTTTCCAAATGTGGAGGGAAAAAGCGGAGGACCCGGAGAAACATCCATGCGGTCACGGTGAGAACTCCAAATATACAGGCGTCAGGATCGGTATTGAACTCAGGACCTCCTGCATAACAGGCGAGTTAGTTAACATCTTGCCACGGTGGCACCCTTACTTCACCACGGTGCTAAGTGGTAGAATAGGAGCCCTCAGGAACAGTTTGGATGTCACTCGCCACTCACATTAATTGTGGCCGGGAAATAAATTCCGGTCTCTTCTTACTAATTAGCATACGTAATTATCTGATATTTAGTTAGGTCAGGATTAATTCTGTGACCAATGTTACACATAGCATCTTGTCACCATTAACTACACAGTGATAGGGCAATTAGACATTGCTACCAGGAACAGTGTGAAATAATTGCCCAGGCATTACCATGGTTCAACCTTGGAAGAATAGAAATATTTTAATGAATAAAAAAAAAGTTGACATTACATTTAAATATTTTCTCAATTAATCACTGTGTTATACTTCCAGCTTCGTAAAATTGCAAAAATTAGTGTCAGTACACAGTCATAGTGCACTATTGAGTGATAGACGCAACAGTCGTGAGGCTGCACCCTCCTCTACCATGATAAATTATGGTTAAATTACCTCCATGAGTAAAAGAGCATGAGGAGCCTTCATCTAGCAGTAGAATTACTAATATTATCAAGTCGACAGCACAATGGCTCATGCAATTCCTCAGTGAGGACTACCCGAGAATCAAAAATCTGCCCCATAAAGCATACGTGCAGGGGCACGCTATGGCTGTATACTTTCTTGTCTACATTATGAACCAACAGCAGGAGCGAGAGGTCACCGTGGCCAATGCCTGTCGATGCCACCACAAACCTGCCATCGCTTCCTTCCTTCTGCCAGATCCCTCAGCTATTCATGAAGCTGACACCTGAACCACCAACGCCTGTCCCTTACAGTCGCATCACCACAGTCGGGTATTCTAGTCTCCTCTCGGCCACCTGCCCTCCTCTAACCTGCACGTTTGTCTCGCCCATCGCAACCTTCGCAACCAGATTCGTCACAGGCACATTTGTAAAACATAATTTAAATCATAATTTTAATCATAATTTAAAATTGTACGTATGCATGTATGTCGACACTTCTTTCGCACTGTAGTAGACAACTGTGAAATGACATCACGAGCGCGTGCGAGTTACACATTCTCACGGAATAAATAACGCAGCGCGAGGGTTACAGAGCTCCACTCGTGATCAATCGTAATGTTGTGAGTTCACATACCATAGGGATTGTGCAATTTCTTACCATGGCTTTGGGCTGCCAACATTGGTGAACACCACTACTGCCCATTGCTGCATTGCGTGAGGATACACTGACCTTGGTTTTGGTGGCGGTGGGTTCCACATTAATACGAGGAGCATTAGCATGGTGGAGGGGGGGGGGTGCAGACTGGCACTGCCACTTACGCACGCAAGCTGGGAAGTGCCCGGACCACTTGTGGTCCTGCTGGCAAATGCGCACGGATGAGCCCACGAGCCGGAAGCCCGGGTTGCACTGGTAGAGCACTGTGTCGCGATAGCCGTAGCTCTCGCCGATCACCTGGCCATTCACGATTGGCTCCGGCGCGCCGCAGTGGCCCGCTGCGACGGCAACAAAAGGGACGTCATCGCAATCTACGGAAGTCGTGAAGCGTGTTTGTGTGTGTCTAAGTTTAACTGCTTTCGCACCGTACGTAGCCAACCATGCTAATCAGAGGTGCGGGGGAAGGGCAACAAACTAAACACAATCCCGCAAGAGACTTGCAAAATAACTCGTCTTTAGTGGTCACTCACCTACGCTGGGTGCAGCAGTGGTGCTGGCCTATTGGGGGTCCTAAGCAGAGCTCATTTTTGAGGGGCCCCCTTTTCAATTCATTAACTCCCAGTGAGGTGGCAGAGAGCGCTGAGACAACAGAGATATATATAAATGATATAACAAAGGGCATGCAGACCACAGAGGTGCATTGAGACGAGACAAGAGAAGCAGATGAGAGACATGAAGAGATGAAAGGTGAGAGACATGCAAACAGAATCAGACCAAACTCTGTTCTTTAGACTGGATGAATCCGATGAGCTATGAAGCTCTTTTTCACAGATGTCCACAACAAATGACAGATATATAGATGAGACAAGACCGTGGACAGCGTACAGATGGAGTGAAATAAGATATGTAAGATGGAGACGTAGTGATAAGAAATGGTGCGATAACATGAATATTTGATGCATGTCACCGATGCAGTATCTGTAGCATACCTACTTTTTGCGTTAAAATTCAAGGCCCTTGAGTTGCTTGGGACCCTAAACGTTAGATGTTCTCATACCTAAGGCCACCACTAGCTGAGCATCATGGACTACCCAGCATTAATTTTAATATTCATTATGGTGAGAGAAAAAAAACCTCAAAATCAAAGTTGGGCGCTCCATTAAGGTGCTCTAGTAAAGTAATTGCGTCCGCGTTGCACAGCGGTGTGACGAGACACACGCTGCTTTTAGACAGCTTTTGAGGTTAATGTTCTCATTTTGACTTTTGAAACCTGAGCAAGAGAGCAGCAGACGCACAGTCGAGGTATGGTTCCACAAGAGTTAGTATTCTTATATGAGTTGTCATCTTTCAATCCACTTGTCAAGTGCTTATGTCAGAACATGCCGGGCTGAAAGGACAAAGGAGGTGGTACCTGCTCACAGAGACTACAGAGCGCCGACTGACACAACAAGAGGAGGGTGGCAGCTATTTCCTCCGGCAAGCCACAATTCAGCGGTGGGAATTCCACATTCCAGGACTGCCATGGCAAGGTCTACCCTCGCCATTCGATGACCCCCACTGTTGATGTCTCACAAAATGGTTCTCGCCCATCCGACCAGGGCTGCACTGTGGCTCGAGCATGGAAGGCCGGCGCTTCGCTCGAATGCACGACACCAAATGGATGGTCTGCGAGATCAAATCCCTTGGTCGGATCCAACTCATCGCTTCCCTTCCGCGTCAATGGAGTTCGTTCGCGGCAGTTTGTGAGAAGTGGCGGTGGTCGCCTACTTGTATGGCGAGATTGACCCCACGGTGGGACAGTTGCGATTTCCAACACTGTGCAAGTTGTACTTTTGAGTAAATTTGACATGACACAACCAAATATTTATCTTGCAGAGATTGGATTGCTACCTCCGAGGTACAGAAAATTGGAATATATAACGGGAACAAGAATATCTCACAATGCCGGAAGAGGGGAGAATCACACGTCTAGGTGTCATTCTTCAAAGTAATCATTCTGAAATGTAAACATTTCCCAGGGCGACCACACCTCAAAGATGATACATTATTTAGCGATGCTGCTGCTGCTCCTGCGCTGGCAGTGGTGCACAAGCACAATTAACAAATGAACTCAACGCATCAGTCAATAACACTGTGTCCTGAACATGAAACAATGTATAAATTTCATATAAAATATATAATAAGCGATATTTCGGACAATAATGGGCCATTGTCCCAAAATATCACCGACTAAATATTTGCTTTCTCCTAAGGCCATGGTGTTATCATATGTGTGTTGAACTTCTTTCGCAGCGTACGCAGCACCTCCGATTAGCACAGCTCACTACGCACGGTGCGAAAGAAGTTAAATATACATATACACACAATCGCGATAATTGGAGATGTGTTGAGCGTTCCTCAAAACGAGCCACGATCTTGGGAAAACAGAGACAGGTGGTAACCCAAAGCGCAGCGCTGTCTCCGTGTCACCAACCGGACGGGCAGCTGCGTGCAGTCGCAAGGTCGAGGGGCAGCGACTGGCCGGCACACGAGAAAGGGCGAGGCACCCCCCACCCCACCACCACCCTCTCCCGCCGTCAGGCGCTCATTACCGATGCACGAGGCGTCCACGCCACTCCAGAGGCCGCTGGCGAGGCACTCACGCCCGGGCGAGCCCACCAGCGTGAAGGCCGAGTTGCACGTGAAAATGGCCGTGGAGCCAAACCAGGTCTGGGTGCCGATTTTGTTTCCGTTGGGAGGCGTCGGCAGCTCGCCGCACGATATTACTGCGTTCAGGGGAAGGCGGCAGTGGGAGAAGAAAGAAGACAAGAGCTGGAGCGTACGGGAGGGGGGGGGGGACGTGTAACGTTGCGTCGCTTCGTGTCGAGTGCGTTAGTAACGTACGCTCGACCGTTTTTGGAGTACGCGTTAAAGGGCCCCCCGGTTCTTTGCGCGCCGGCTGAGTGACCTAAGGAGGCTCACAGTAGCCGTGTGAGAGCTGTGAGCCCGGCATTGCCGAGGGGCTCCTGCATTGATTTGTGCACTGTGCTCTGATCCCAGTTACCCGAGTTCGATTTCCAGTAATGAAAAACAGCAGCGGCACGTGGTTATCAGATCCTGTTGCAGACCTACAACTAAGTCCGCCTCGCCTTAAATTAGTAGCGGTGTGGTGTGTGAATAGCAGCATTGAGAGACAAAGGTGGCCCGGCATATTACTGGCCACACAATCCAGTTGCCCCTACGCAAGGATCTTTGTCTTCATGTGTATGCACACGAAAAGACAATTATGGGGAGTAAATGCATTACTGCAATCATATTGATGAATACAGGAAATGGTCATCTGTTACTTAGCGTGGGGCTGGGTGATTATTTACGATTGATTAAGTCATTGGTTTTAATTTGAAGTGATTCAACAACCAAAAAACGTTAACATTTTGTAAACGATGGTTGCGAGCGGTTTGGGTGACAATGAGGACGGCGGTGGCAAACGCATCGGGCAGGAGCGCCTAAAATAATACCACGGGTGTTGTTATCTTTGAGAATAAGTCAACCGAATGAATGTGTATTTAAAGAATATAATCCGAGAAGTAATCAAGCGATCAAATTTCATTACTTAGAAGAAAAACCCCAAATATCGCATGATATTGAATTAATTAATCAGAAAACAATTATATAAAAAATCGTGCTTCGAAAACTGCACCTGCATGTATTCAGTGTATAATTGCATTTATATATGTGATGTGCATATTCAAACGTATGTATGTACAACCATTCATTTACTTACACATTTGCATATGCCATACACAATGCATAACGGTTTCTCCTGAAACTAAAGCAAAAGCGTGCCGTTTATCCTTACAACAATAATACACAGAAGTGAGTGACGCGGGGGGGGGGGGGGGGGTTAGTGTCCTTCATTGGGAAGCCCATGAATGGCTTTAATGGATAAAGACATCAGAATACCAATCACAGCCATCAATCTCGAACGAATCCGCATGGCTGTGATAACACTCCGCAACAAAAAAAAAAACCACTGCACTGCCTGCAATTGCAGCCCTGAATCTTAATTTCTTCACAGTGGCCCTTTCGCCGTTGAATGCAAGTCGGATTTTACGCAGCGTCTAAAAAGGAACCGCATTTGAAGGCGCTGCACGGGAACAGTGGTCATGATTCATTCCACAGAGAGGCAGAGAGAGGGGGTGAGGGGGTGGCTGCCAGTCATGAACTTGAACATGGGCAGGGGGGTCCCCCCCCCCATAGCACAGGTGGCTGCGGGAAGGGATTTCCAGACTAAGGGTGGGGGGAGAAGCAGAGGGAAACGACCACCAAGTTGAACGCGTTTAATTTTGCAGCCTTTTACGCAGATTAAGGTGGTGAGCCAGTTGCATGTATCACAGTGTGGCTAGGGATGACAGTCGGCTTGATAGTCTTAACAATGTAAGCTCAAACTTAAAGTGTCTTTAACGTTCACGTCAGCATGCAATAATTCTCATCTGAACTAAACAATTGTTTATATGACCTGATAAGGTCCACCGAGCTATGTAGCTCTTTTTCAGAAGTAACCTGGCAATAAATGATAGCTCAACGAAGTGGCTAATCATTTCTAGCAGCCAAATACTTTAAACACGTGATTCTACATGTGCAGGGAAAAACCGGAGGACCCAGAGAAAAATCAACGCGACCACGGGGAGGACACACAAACTCCCAATGTCAGTCGGAATCGAACCCACAATCTCCTGCATACCAGGCAAGGGAGTTAACATCTCACCACCGCAGTACCCAGACATCTGCATTGGCGACCCCAAGTGAATGGGCTCAGTGTTGGCTGAAGACAACCACCGTTGACCTACCACAAATGTGTACATGTAATAGAAATCCTGACGGAGTGATGGGCTGAGTCAACCCATGATTGTCAGTCATTTGTGTCCAGGTAGCTTCTCAAAAAAGAGCTATATAGCTCAGTGGGTCTTACCTGGCAGAAAAAAATGTTTGTCTTAGTTTCACATGTTTTGAAGGATATTACAGGTCGTCCTCTACTTACGATGGAGATGCGTTACGACTACCCCATCGTAAGTCGAAAATATCGTAAGTCGAAGATGGCCTAGCCTACCCAGGAGTCTTAAAGAATGGTGATAATTTAGCAAAACAGAGCAATTTACAATACCGTACTGTATAAACTATATATACTGTATGTATTTATTAATTACAATACTGTATTGCGCAGTAAAATGTAAAGTAAAAAAAACAAGGTCAATTCTTAGCCTACCTATATGAACTGCAATTTAATAGAAAGTTTTTTCAGAAAACATTTCTATCTGCTATAAAAGCTTTTAACATGCATTGAACGTATCGTATAGTGGTAACCTTAAAATGAAATCGCTAAAGCTACATATCATACAAGCATTGAACGTATCGTAACGTATCCTATTGTACTGTACTCACCAAGATTCTGTCCGTCGTCTGCATACTTGAACGTTGTTAGGTTGTTGATGGCAATTTTGTCGTATCGCTATCGCCATCGTAAGATCGAAATATTGTAAGTCGGACCATCATAACTCGGGGACTACCTGTGTACGTACGATTGCAACAGCCCATGTTGTCAGGTACGTCTACACTGTCCCATGCGGTGATTTCTCCTGTGTCATTAAAATGAGATGTCAACAGTGATTGTCACGTAGGGATGCTGGCTTCCATCATGCAAATGTGAACTGCCACCACTGGCTCAAGGCCACCAAGGGAGATGAGCACTGCCGCATTCATCAATCGAGCAGAGGTGCTGAGATTTACTTGACTCTTTTAATCTTCACGCGGCAACTTTAGGCTCCAGTCGATTAAGTGAGATGGGCACGCACATTTTGCAAACATAAATCATTAGCGATGCGTTCGTGGCATGGGGTACACACTCACGGTAATTAGAACCCCACTGTGGCTGCAATATGCTGCCCTCCTTTACATTTTAATAAGCACAGGCGAGTGACACTCCACGACGCTGACAGGCAAGCGGCGTGATCAAGGAAGGGGCAGCACTTACTTTCGCAATACGGCCTGTCGTTGTCCCAGTTCCAGGACCCGTTCATTCCGCAGGTGATGACTCTGGGTCCCTTCAGGTGGTATCCGGCTTTGCAGGTGAACAGGATTTGTGTCCCGTAGGAATTCCTGCTCTCGCCCAAATATCTCCACTCTCCATTCTTGAGAGAAAAGCTGTCGAGCCTTTGGCACATTGTCACTGTAACGGGAGAAGGGGGGGTGGGGTAGATGATTAGCACACACTCGTGTTAGTCGTGCACCTCGGAGATAAACCATGCCATTTGAGGCAGACGGGGTCAATGAATGTGACTCGGAACAAGGTGGTTACGTAACAGGCCAAACTGTGCTGATGAGGATTACCTAAGTTGAACCCGGTCTAGGGTTTCTCTCGTTGACATAAAGCTACCGGAACACAGCCCCAGCTGTATCATGGGTACACCGCAGTAAGATGACCCGCCCATACTGGACATCAATGAAAAAAAGAGCATCATAGCTCATCAAATTCCTGCAGTCTAAATAACGATTATGATTGTGATAGTTGATCGGCAGGTCGCGTGTAGTGGAGTAAAGTACGGACCGCTCCCATCTCTTCTTCCAAGAGGTCTGGCAGGGAAGAGCAGGCCAAATATCTCCCCTAGAGAGGCTTTCTCAGGGTGTCCTTTAGAGGGAGGCATTGATTTAGAAAGAAACACCACTGGCCGTTGCATAACTGGCAATTAATAATTTTATGTTGGCCACGAGTTACAAAAATTCAGCTCAGGGATGCCGCCGTCGAAGAGAGCTCGACTCACATTCAGAAGGTTGTGAGTTCAAATCCTGGTTGTGGGTTGACTGCCCATCATCACTCAGGTTTGGATCAAGTGAGCAACACTCACGATTCATAACGTTTCTTTTTAGTAAAAATCGTGCAGGTAAAACGTCTATAATCCTGCGCAATCCAACGCGGGCAAAGAGTGCCACTTGATTTGGTTTTTCAGCAATGTTGAAAAGGTTAGAAAAATGTTGACAACTTTGCATGACGTTTTCGATCGAGATTACAACCAGCGTCATCGGGTGTGAGCAAAAGTTCAGCTATCACGTGAGATCCAACCCATTGGAGACTGATTATGAATAATATCAGTGATGAGAGCCTGCGAATAAAATTAAGTCACAAATATTTTGGAAATAAAACTATTCAACCATAGAGGCAACGGTTTTTAGTGAGCACCTATTAAGGCCCCATTAGCTTTGTAACCGTAATAGATATTGTACGCATTTTAAGGCTGGGTCACACTAGCAGAGGCCCGAAATCAGGGGTCCCCAATCCCCAGGCCGCGGACCGGTACCGGTCTGTGGCCTGTTTGGAACCGGGCCGCACAGCAGGAGGTGAGCGGTGAGTCCGCGCGTGGAACCCGGCCCCATTATTTTATTTACCACTTCCATCCACGCTTCTTTCCCGCACTGCGCACTTGTCTCAGTCACGATTTTGGTAAGCCCACAAGCTGACCCCTAGTCAAAATTAGTAAAAAACAAACGTCGCTGGAGAGCTTATTTCAAAAGGGGGAAAGACCCAATGATGACCCCCCCCCCCCCGGTCCGTGAAAAAATTGTCTTCCACGAAACCGGTCCCTGGTGTCAAAAAGGTTGGGGACCGCTGCCCTAGATAGATGCAGATACCACTGTCCACCGATCACGTGCATGACTGGAGATTAACCCCAAGTGGCTGGGCTCGTAGTGCAGTGCCTGAGCTAATTCGTCACTGCCACTCAAGATACTGAAGCGCACAATCACAACACATTAGGATTGGCACCTGTCAATTCTTTCCCAGCACATTAAAATTTCTGTTCTTTTTTTAAGTTGCTTATCATTAATACACCAGTTTAACACGTAGGCTTTCGCGACCAATATCATCCAAAATAGAGGTTTTTTGGGTAAGATCGCGTAAATATATAAATATGTCGTTAAATCCGCCACCACCCGACACAGCAAATTAGTTTGTCACGTAAACAGAACATGCCAATTCATCACTAGTACAATACACCAGTGTGTTGAGGAGCAAAGCCACAACATTTACAATCTGAGTATGACGTGTCGCTAGTAATTGCAAATATCTTCATAGGGTGGTGGCAGGTTTAACGACACGTTAATATATTTACGCGATCTAACCCAAAAATCCTGTATTATGGAGTAAAGCACCACTAAGGACAATGCATTTCGTCTTCTATTACTGTGAGATAATCTTATTCCAACAAAATGTTCCGGTTGTTTTTGTACCTTAGAGGTGGGCAAGCTTCAATGCACACACTCAACCGCATGCACAACTGTACACACGAGTTGACGAGGGGGGTGGTCTCGTGGCTGGCTTGAGATTAGATTATTATTATTAGTGCTATAAACGTCCAAAGGATGGGGCAATTTGTTGGGCTATCATTAATGGCGAGGTCGCTTCTGAAAAATAAGTTAATACCTCAGTGGGCTTTGCCTGGTAGGATGGGGATGGTTTAGTTTCATTTGTATGTTTATGGGTGATTTGTTTACCTTTCTTGTACTTTGCGCTGTCATGTTTTTGTACTGTTTGTAGCTGTAACGTTCTTTCTCGCCCCGACTGGACATCAGTTAAAATAGCGTAATAGCTCATGGGATTCTTCCAGTATGAATACATATTCTGATTATGATTCTGATTAGTGCATCACACCTCTGCAGCTCGGAGGCTGGTTCAAGTTGCTCCACTTGCCCGAGCTCTGGCACACAGCGAACGCCGTTTCATCTGGAGCCAGGCTGTAGCCCGGTCGGCATCGGTACTCCACACGAGCGCCAACCACCAGCTCACGGCCCACCACTGTGCCATCTGCTGGGGGCCGTGGCACCCTGCATGAAATGGCTGCAACCCGGGAAATGAACGACAAACGACGGCAAATTCAAAAAGTTCCACTCCTTCATCGTATACACCACGACTTTTAGTAATAATAACCACACTCTTTATCTCAACCACTACCACAACACCTTGCTGATCTCGACAAGGAGCATAAACCATCCCGCGAGCTCCGGTCATCCTCGCAGCGGATTTTGGCTGGCCATTGAACAAAGACGGCCAATGCGTCGCGCGCTTTCAGATGCGCTTCCGTGGCCGTCTGGAACGCCCTTTCTAACGATGTTATGAAGCCACTGGCAGCTTTATACTTTTAAATTTAGATTGAAAACGAATTTCTTGATAACTGCATTTTGTGTTGTCGTTTGTTGTCCTTCCCCCCGCGTCTCCATTTAGCGCGGTTGGCGAAAGAAGTTCAACATACATACATGAATATTATAGGATGAGATCGTTCTGCAGGAGTGCTGTGCGGGTGTGGAGACATTGCACGTGGGGCAGTAAATATAAGGCAAATGTGCAGCCCTGCAGTTGCTCGCTCATGCCACCGCTTATGGAAGGGCCTCCACTAGAGGGAGCTCTCGAGAGTCAAACTCTTGACAGCTCCCTCAAGCTCAGTGGTCTTCATTGCAAGGCCCCGTGGGCCATTGGCGGCCCCCTGTTGCCTTTTAGTGCGGGCCCCTGACGTGCGCCACCGCCCCCTACAATGCACAAATGTGCAACACATCCCCCCATCATCATTATCGTGTTGCTGTAAAAACCCACAATGGTTTCAAATGTGTGGCGGCCCTCGCACTGATGATGTCTTATTGGCTAAAGTGCCCCCCCACCCCCGCCTCTGAAAATTTGTAAAGAACACTAAAGCCCAATAAAAGTTATGAATTAATAAAAGCGTGATTTGGATTACGCATGATGTGCTAATAATCATTGTACCAATACATACCACGTTATTTTCCCACGTACCATTGGTTATATTGGCTATCAAGTGCAACAAATTTGCACACGATAAAAAAAAAACTACTCAAAGCCAAGTTATATAATAACTTGAGGACAATATACATGCAAATTAACACAGCACATAAATCATCCCAATATCGAAGTAACTATCATGAATTGCTCACCTCTTCTCTACAAGTACAAATGCGTAAAACAAGAATGTTGTGGAATGGAAGAGCCGCATGCGCACGTGGATTTTTGCAGACTGAGCAGGCCTCTCAGTGATCCGTCCCCCGGGCCATGCCCCCAAAATCACAATCCCGCACAGTCGCAGGAACTCTCTGTCATCACTGGATCCACTCACGCACCACAGCCCACATTTGGACATCCAACAATCGTGGCAAGGGAAGTGGTGGAATGGGCGAGTTTTTGTCGGGAATCGGCTGCATACAATTTACAAAAAATATATATATTTTTTTTTAATATTCCAATTTTGAATGAAAATCGTGTTGATAAAAAAGTGGCCGAGTGAAGACAAAATAATTGCACGAGAGTAGAGGAATGCCTTTCTCAGGAAAGACCGCTTGGAGAAGCGTTACGCTACTTTTGGTCAAACACATCATAGCATATTTAAAATATATCAACACAACTGCTTACATACTTTCGATTTTACTTTCAACAAAATAACTTTAAATTCGCAAGTAAACTTAAACCTTGATGAGAACAAACTCTAAACCATTATTATAAGAGAGTATTTAATAATTCCAAGGTCAGGGTTAATGGGAAAATTTCTCTGTACGCCGAAACGTAAAACAGATCGCATACCGAATTGTTCTCACCATGATGCAAATCTAATTAATATTAAAAGCTAATTAAGCACATAATCAGCTTTGTAAATATTATATTACTCAGCGTATTAGGAACGCGACAATGATGCATTGCTTCATGGCATTTCACGTTGCTTGAGAAATAATTACTTCTCAAATATGAAACTCTGATAGAGAATGCAGGGAGATGAATGCTCTAAATAAATCTAACAGACAGCTCATGAACTGGAGGGATTTAAACAAGACATGGTACAACACAGATTAACAATTAGCTGTAGAGCTACGGCTGTAAATGAAAGTGAAAATGTCAAATCTCTCTCTGCTCACATGTGCACAGGTACAGCACTCATATCTATTGGTATCTCATAACCAGAAGTGGAAATGCCACATTCCTATGAGAGGGTGGTAGAGTTTTCCAGATGGAAACTGTTGACAGTCCACTAAATAGCACCCATTTTATTGACCCAGGAGGGAGGATTGGCCCAGTCGGCTGCAAACCGGTATTCAAATTGCAATCATTCGATTGTGAGTAACAATGCATTCCTGTATTAAACCACTTGAAGTTAGTTCGGGCTGGCAAAGTGATGCAGAAGTCAGAGCACTGACGCTTGTGATAAACCGGGTCATCAAATTGTAGAATCTTGATGGTTAGAGCTCGGCCACAAAATGGCTGCACAAATATAAAAATATTAGATTTTCACCGAATTTGTATTTCCGACTGTGGATTTTTTGGGAACGGTTCGCGTGGAAACTCTTCTGCGTCATTCTATGAAACACAGGGCGCACTGCTCTGCGACATGTCTCAATGGAGGATCCCTTTGTCTCGTGACGTTGATACCGACAATTGGAATACGTTAGAACAAGTTGAAACAAAAGATATTCTCATAAAAAGGTCCCAATTAATTGAACAGTTTTCATACTTGCGGGTCAACACCATGGGTAAATCGAACAAACCAATGCGGCAGGTCGGTTAGGGTGCGTGAACTCCGGCACTTTCTATCCATTCATAAAAAAAAATTATAATAACCTATATCTAAACAAATGAAAACAAAAATGTTGGAAAAAAACTCACAGTTCAATGTCCCCCTGCACGTCCATATTTTGCATGCGCATTACACTTACACGGAACGGCCCAACCGCGATCCAAACGAGTCGCGCGTTGACTTCTGGAGCGCACCTCGCCCATCACTTACCCTGACACGCAGGCACCGGCGCGTCCCACAGGTGCCAGCCGGCTGGCGATCGGCGACAGGTGGCGGCACTTTGGCCAATCATGCGGTACCCGGGGTGGCAGGCCCAGCGCACGACGGCGCCCGCATGTCCCCCCGTCTGGCTCTGCACACTCCCTTGCCGCGGTGCAGCTGGTGTGCTGCAGTACGCAGCTAGTGCACACACATAAAGACAAAAATTCCCTGTATAGCCTTAACGGACTGTTGGGGCAAGTGCTATTAGCAAGTAGCACCTATGAAGGCCGGCACGGCACACGAGGGGGTGGGTGGCCAGCACCACGCCCGGCCGCCTTTGTCTCCCGAGTGGCGATGTTTACTACACACCGCACCAGGTACTCATTTGAGGCTGAGTCGACCTAGTGCACACACATACACACAAAGATCCCCCGTGTAGTCGTACAGAGCGCTCCAGCAAGGATTGTTATAGTAAGCGTCTATTGCAGCGGCACGGCGCACGAAGCAGTAGTGTGACCGGAAAACATCATCGGGACAGCTTTGTCCCCCCCCCCCAAGTCTACCACAGCAGGCACACATTTAAGGCTGAGCTGAGCTAGAGGAAGCCCAGAACCGTTTTAGACACCGCTCGTGAAATGATGGTCGCCGTGACAATGGGTCACTGAGATTGTAGCACAATTTGTGAACTGCTTTGCCCAACGTTCCACGCAATGCTAACCCATCCAGCGCAGTGATCAAAACAGACATGGATATGAAGAAATTATTTTAAACATTGCTTTGCGTGTCCCCTCGATATCCGCTGTCTATTGCTTGCTGGAGTATATAAGCCTGCTGACGGCAGTGTCGGGTGGCGTGAGGGAATACACGCGTGACAGAAATGAGAATGAAGCTTCACAAAATCCCTACACACCCGACTGTTTAACGGCTCACAGCTCACCAGGGAAACTTAATGTTTTAGCTCTGCTATGTCATTTTTAAAGCATGTCTCCCACGTGGCGGGTAAAATTAAAATCATGCCCCACTTCCGAGTGAGTTTTATGCACTAATGTGAAACGCCTACAGATTTCGGTGTGAGAAACGTATTAGAATAACTAGGTTAACTAAAATGATTAGGTCAAAAGGCAGTGTTCGCTCATACAAAACAATCTTTTCTGTACATTAGCCTGAGCCAGAACAGAAATGTCACGTACTTTTAGGCTGCGACCAGTCTTTCCTCATGACAACCAGTGCTATTTTGCTAAATCATAAATATGCAATTTTACTCGAAGTACCTCAAGGTATTGCATGGCGGTAACAAGATACTTCAGGTAACTTATTATTGTTATTTAAACATTGCATGCTCGAGGTAAAACATCCGTACCTCTAAATGCCTTAGAAGAAATAAAATAAATAACTGGAAAGCCCACGAGCATAGATTTACACACTTGATTCACTATCAGCGTCGCATAAGATACATTTAAGAACATACAAAAAGGTGTGCATTGCATTTGTAGTGACATCGCTTGATGTCAACATGCTGGGTGCAGTACCGGCCCTAGAGGGGCCCGGTGAGCGCTGAATGATAGCGCTGGATGGCACTACGCTTTGCGTGCAGTGCCAACCCTACAGGACAGGTTGTGTGAGTGCCGGCCGAAGGATGAGGTTACTCGAGGCCATGGCACTCTGGTTGACCTGAGAAGACACGTGACCAGGTAAGTCTACAAAGGGGCCCCAAGAGGGGGCTAGGGGTGGTCACGTGGTTGGGACCCAGATCCTTCCCGAGGATTCTGGAAGGTGGTCGTGGCCAAGGGCGGAGCCAACCACGCCACAGAGAATATAATCCGGGTCTCGAGAGGGACCAGGGTCGTTGTTAATCCTGGAAGAAACCTTCGTCTACGTTCTCCGTTGAACGAGTCTCCAACACGTGGACCTGGGACAAAGCTGTTGGTCCCGGTCCGTAGTAGCAGTTATGTTGTAACTAGTGTAGTTAGCCTGGTGGTCACCACCATAGGTTGCTATTCTGTTAAGGGGAAAGTTACCCCGTGTGTTGGAACTGAATACATGTTTTGCCTCAAAGTCTACATCTGCGACTCAGTTGAATCCATTACACATTTACAAAAGGCTCTCAGCCTTATCCAGACCAACAGCTAAAAATAACTGAACATGTGGACAGTAAAAACAAAGACAACTGTATACCGGGTTTTCCCTCATTCATGACCCATCAACACAGTGCAGTCATGAACGTTCGCTGCTGTCGGTTGGGATGGCTCCGTTTGAGAAGTTCCCGACTCGTCGCGTTGGTGGGCTAAAGAAGCTGGTGGTCTGGATAAGACTGCCTAGCCTACCGTACGTGCAGTGATGCACACCTTTGTGTGTGTGTGTGTTGTTAAAGGTTTCCAGCCTGCATTTTTCAGAATGCCTAAGGCTGACGTCCAGTGTACTAACCATTAGACCATGGTAGTATCTTGATATATATATTTTTTATCAGTGGGTATATGTCGTCCCTTGCTGCATATATTATGATGATGCAGCATTTATGTGTTTCTCTGCTGCAACTGCTGTATTTCTGCTTTCAAGTCACACTGCGTACCCTGCAGAATATCGTAAGTCCCAGCCAGTCACGGGCAGCCGTAGAATACGACCGGAGCATTACACAGAACGAAACCGAACGCATATTTGCCTCCTTTAATTAACATATGTCACGTCTGTACCTCCGTATTGTAATTTAAATCCCCGTCTGCTTGTGGCTTGGTCTGTGGACCAGCGCACATGAACCTGGTGGCCCCTGCTCCTCACGCTAATTGGGGATGAGATGTTGCCACTCAGGGTTAGGAGACGGGGACTTTGATTGGTGGGTCCTGCACACAGGCACACGCAGACACACACACGCACAAGACAAAGATCTCCCTTATAGTCTTCACAGAATCTTGCATGTATTTCGAACTTCTTTTACTCCGTACGTAGGCAACCGCACTAATCGGAGGTGCGGGGAAAGGACAACAATCTAAACACAAAAAGCAGTTCTGAAGAAATGAGATTTAAATCTAAATTTAAAAGTGCATAGCTCCAGTGGCTTCCGAATATCAGAAGGAAAAACCTTACAGAAGGCCACAGAAGCGCATCTGAAAGCGCGCGATGCAGTGATCGTCATTGTTTGATGGTTAGCCAGAAGCCGCTGTGAGAATGACCAGAGTTCTCGTATACTTTATAAATGCAACTTGGAATACATTGCATTTTAATGGGGATTCAGCCGATATGATTTTGCGCACTCTATATGCACATATTACGCGTTATATAAAATAGATATATGGCCTTCGTTTGCAGCCAGGTAAGAGACCATGAATAAGATCTGGTTTAAAATACGTGCAGCAAAATAACGACGACCAAATTGCATTATCCATTATCCAAAGAATTTGAGAAAAGATTGCCACGCAATTAAAGATACATATCACATATAACAAGTTATAAACATTTCAATTGTGAAACAAAAAGAATACACTCTAATAAACATTATTATAACCGACATAGTTATCATCTCACGTGGTCTTGCTATGCCCGTGACCCATCTCAATCCTGAATAAGAACTAATATTATGAGTTCTTAATATGAAAATATATATATTATTATATGATAGGATCAATCTAGATCTGAAGTTTTCGTGACTGCAATGATCCATACGTGACTTTACCGAATGAACCAAAGATAGGATCACTTGTCTTTTGGGCACATAATTTCCATTATTTTTTGGTTCCCGATAGAATAATATTTTGGTTATTCGTTATTGTGAAACTAATTCATGAAGCCTGTCTTCGTCAAGTAAACGTTTTCAATGAATATAATAATAATTTGCCTGAAATGATTATTTAACAATTTGTATCTATGATCAGACACTAACTACTTAAAACATTTGTATTTTTCTGCCAAAAAATAAAATTGTTGACGACTTGTTTCAACTTGTTATATTTAAAGACGTACCCATCGAAAACCGCTCAAATTAAAGATTCCGATCTTTTTTATGAGAAAGAACTAAATTTTTAATTTAAATTAATTAACTTAATACTCTTCAAGGGAAACTCCTATCTTTGACCGTTTTTTATTATTCAGATTCGAACATCATAAAATGCCAATTTTTTCATTTAAAACTGCTTTGATCCGAAATATCTCAAAAACAATAAAAGATAAAACAATTGCTTTCGCTTGAATTTTAATTGCTGTTTAACAAAAAACCTTAAATCATATATATTTTAAGGATTCTGAATGACAGGCACAAACATGTTTATGGGGCACTTAAAATCTTGGAGACCTTACAATGAAAAATCTTGGATTTTCAGATTGTTCCTGTTGTTGGCTTCCTAAAAGCTACATGTGTACCAAATTTCAGCTTTCTACCTTATTGGAAAGTACCACAGAGGTTTTTGAGATATACATAGATATATACATAGAGATTAAGGTATCTATCTATACAGAAGATTGTGATTTTTATTTTACATATTATGATAATACTAATTTAAAAAAACTAGTTAAAACTTTCAATGCTTCATTTTTTAGCAAGCACTCACCGTCAAACATCTCCAGCTCATCGTACTGCTTCTCACTCTCGAAGAAGTCAATCAGCAGAGACAAGTTGTACCCCTTCTCCACGACGATCGTCCAAGTGCAGGTCTGGTAGTTCGGGTAGCTGGCTGGGAAGTCCGGGCTCAAGATCACACCCGTGGAATCCTTTCGAAATTCACCCTGCGGACATTGCGCTACAGCGAAGACACGCGTTACTTTGCGTTACATATTCTTGGTTCTTTCGGTAAAGTCACGTAGAAGGGAAATAATAAAAATAAACATCATAAAATAAAAGTCTCACGACGTTTCGGCCACAAAGCAAGCAGCCGTACGACAGCTCTGTTCTTCACCTGAGGACGACTGCTTGTGTTGTGGCCGAAACGTCGTGAGCATTTAATTTTATGTTTAATTTTTATTATTTTATTATTTCCCTTCTACGTGACGTTACCGAAAGAACCAAGAATATGACTTTACCGAAAGAAACAAGAAGAAAAAAAAAAAAAAAAAGGTTTTTGAGTTAGATCGTGTAAGTATAAATGTGTCGTAACCCTCCACCACCCGACACAGCCAGTAAGGTTTGTCACGTAAACAACGCGCCAATAAGTTACTACTTCAGCCCACCGGTGTGTTGGAGAGTAAATCCACAACATTTATAATCTCTCCCCTCAGACTTTCACCATCTGACACTGTTTTAGCCCGATGTATGTGTCTTGATGAGAGATGATTTCTGTGCGGGGTGATGATGTGAATCTGCATTCAGATAGGCATCAAGTGTGCGTTTCTTTTCAGTAAACGCTGTGTTATTTTTTTTCAGAGGAAGACTCAAGGTGGTAGAAATCACAGAGAAGATGAGAGAGAAAAAGGCTGGTGTGGTTCGGTCATTTGGAGAGACAACAGGAACAGTATGTAGGTTAGAAGGTGCAAGTGATGCAAGTGGAAGGAAAAAGATCAAGAGGAAGGCAGAAAAAGAGGTGGGGGCAATGTGGTGCCATCGGACACGGTGGCCCGAGGAGCGGTAAGAGAGATGGCGCAGGACAGGGCAGTGTGGAGAAGGTTGGCAAGGACAGCGTGGAAGAAGAAGACATTTTACAATGACAATTCCTTATAGAGGAAACACATCCACGACTGCCTGCGTACCAGACGAGATGTTGCCTCCGCAACATCTGACATTCAGTTGAAAAAGGAGACACTTTGGCTTCAATTTTTTTTGTTTCTGCAATTATGGGCGACTCAAACCAAAATGGGAAATGAACGCACATTTGTGAACATGGATATGAAGACAGGTTCCCTGTGATGCTGCCTCTCAGCTCTGACAAGACAATTGTTACCCCACTAAAGCGCAGAGCCACGTATTAACCGCATGAAAGCATGTTAAGGACTTAATCAACCTCATGCAAACTGCTCCATTGTGGAGCACACCCATTCCTTCGCTGTCCTAAAGGTTTATTTTGTTACTTTATCAACACAATATAGATCCACAGCGATGTGGCAGTTGATTTGCGCCTCTGTAAATACGAAATTAAACGATTAAACCTCTAAAATTACGACCGCTGGCTATAAGAGGGTGTGTGCTGCCATTATGACCTTAAAAATTATCTGCGGTGTAACAGGTCAGCACACTAAACACGCCATCCGGAGGCAGCTGGCTCATTGACCAGGCACAGCAGTCAACACAATTTGTGAGTTTCTTAAACGCACCGTCTCTGTCCGCCCAGCACGATGAATGAGAACACCACAGTCTATCGCCAGCCCACCTGCGGTGGGGCGGAGTGTGGGCACTCCCATCTCTTCGAAGATGCCTAATCAGTGTGAACGGGTCAGTCAAATGCCCTTCACTAGAGGCAATGCTCTAGAGCTCCCTCGAGTTGAGGCCGTTCTGCCAACAGTAATGAAGGCAAAGTATTGCAGGGCTCCAACTTTGCCATGGCCTTTAACATTTTTCTTTCAAGCTAACCTGAACATTTTTTTTTATTTTACCAGGTAAGGCCCACTGAGCTATATAGTTGTTTTTCAGTTTTTTTTTTATTTTACCAGGTAAGGCCCACTGAGCTATATAGTTATTTTTCAGAAGCGCGACCTGACCACAAATGATAGCTCAACCAAGTGGCTTATCATCACGTGGACATTTAGAACTCTAAAAGGCACGTTGATTCTAAATGTGAAGGGAAAACCCGGAGGACCCGCAGAAAAATCCACACGATCACGGAGAGAGAGGACATGCAAACTCCAATATACAGGAGTCAGGATCGAACCCACGACCTCCTGCATATCAGGCACCCTACGGTCAAGCAGCAGCTCCCAGAATGCACCGTGATGTATCCAGGGTCAAGGGTCGGCCACCTTGTGCCAGGAGATGAGTTACTTCGCCTGTGATGTCACCAGGGCAGCACCTCTGCGTTGCGCCACGAAGCCGTGTGACCGTGACCTTTAATTATTTTGAATCCGTAATCACGCTTCAATCACACGTTGCTCATTACGCGGAGCCGAGATGAGGTTCTTCACTTCGTGGATTGAGATTTGCCTTAGAAGAACAACGTGGAATATTTACACGGTTTTATATTACAGACCGCAGACGTGGCCATTACTAAGAAACGATACGAGAGCTACGGGCTTTGTCTTAAATCTACACGTAAAAGTATTGTTCGGGTTAAGTCAAAGAGGTAGGTTCGGGCATGAAGAATGAAAAAACTCATCGATGCTGCTGTTAATTTAAAAAAAGTAAATCTCGCGTAAATGGTCACGGCACAACGTGAGAACAACTGCAGAGGGATGAGAGACAAATCTAGCAGCGGACTGGAGACCAAGGCAGAAGGGAAGAGAAGCAGAGGAAGAGAGCGGAGGAGATCCTATCATATCCAGATTTATACATAGCGCCTGACTGCAAGACGCTTTACAACAATTGTAACATTTTACATGAGATGATGGGGGTAGAAATAACGAGTGGGGGTTATTTAAAGTGGCGGGTGCAGCCGTGGTAAGAGCAGCGAGACGACCTCACGGGGTTCTGAGGCCTGCACCTAGGCAGGAGCAACTGGGCAGAGGACGGATCAGAAGAGAAAATGGGGGGGGGAGGGGGGGCGTTTGCCCTCCAGTGGGACGTTACAGACTGGCAACAACAACCTGTTACAGGTTGATAACAACAACCATAACAACAACGATAACCACAACGACACAAGATGGGTGTCTCCACAACACTCGCTGTTGTGTGTGCCCCAAGAGGAGGCGTCGTGAAGACACTCGCTCACCTTGACAGGCAGGAGGAGCGCTGTTCGCTTGCAGGCGGGTATCCAGTCGGCACGTCAACGTTTCATTTCCGATGAGCGTGAAACCAGCATGGCACGTGTACTTGACAATATTACCTGCATCATCGGGAGAGACATAGAGACGTGTGTGTGTGTGTGTGCGTACAGCACTTGTATATAAAATACAACCAGAAAATAGGTTTAAGAGGCTTTCGGGGCAAGTTCCGTTAGCGAGCGCCTGTGAAGGCCGGCACGATGCAGGTGATGGGGTGGGCAGCAACCACGACGGGCAGCCTTCGTCACACGAATGGCGATGGTTACACACGACGCCAGGTACTCATTTTTAGGCTGAGTCGATTTCAGCGAGGCTCAGGACCGGTTCAGATAATAAGTCCGTGAGCGGAAATTGAACTCGGACAGCCGCGTTCGGAGCACAGCGCACTTTTCGCTGCACGAACGCTCCCCACTGTGTGCATCAAAGATCCAAGAACAGAAGTGCACACGAATACCTAAAATGCATAAAGAGGCATCCCTAACATTAAGCCAATTTTCTCCGGTGTAGGCTCGCAAAGCACGAGGCATTCATTTGGGTTGAGGTGACCCTAGGCCAGGGGTCGGCAACCAAAATAACAAGAAGAGCCATTTCTTTCCAATTCGGTACAAAATTCAGTATTTCAAGAGCCGCAATGCATCTATGTACGTACATATCGTCAAGAAGCAGCCCGTAAAGAGGCGCATGCGGCTCCGGAGCCGTAGGTTGCCGACCCCTGCCCTAGGCAATATCTGCGATAGGCTCAGACACCACTTGACACACATTCTGTTCATAGCCCCGGTATCAAACTAAGGCAGGAAGGATCGGAGTGCAGTATACAGGCCACTGTGTGACCTCTCCCAGGGTATTGTGAATCAGCACGTTCAAGCGTCCCAAGACGTGTACAAAACAACGGTGATAAACAATCCATTTACCAATCATGAAGTTTTCACTCTCCATTAGCGTCTCTGCATTCGGCACCTCCGTGGGTGTCTGACAGGCCCTGAGTGGATAAGCTAAGCAAGGAGAGAACGCCACAGTCACTTGGATAATCATGACACGTTATACGCAGATTGCCAGGCAGCAGCTGCAACTTTAAATTAGTCCGCCAAGGTCACGCAATAATACGTGACCACATTTATAAGCAGACTTAGGCACACACACACACAACAACATAAACACACACATTAAAAGTCTCCCATTTAGCCATATATATCGGAGGGGCATGGGCAATTAACAAAACAACCAACCAATGCATCAGAAAGGGGGAAAAGTGAGGCTAGCAGTACACCCAGCTCTCTGTGTCTCCCCCAAGTCGAGGTTCATACAACACACAAGGAAATTGTGGAGTTAACTTGGGCAAGAACATATTCCGATACCCCTCGCGACTGATGTTGTACTTGGCCATGAGTCTCAAACAGGGGTTAAAGGGATCGTAGAAGCAGTGCGCAAACCATTAAAACACCGCAACGCAAACACTAAAGATAAAGATCCCCCATATAGCTTGTAGCAGACTATTTGGAAAATTTTGTTAGCGAGTACGCATGAAGGATGACACGGCACACAAGGGGTTGGGTGGTCAATGCCATGCCCGGCCGTCTTTGTCTTCCCGGTGTTGATGTTTACACACAGTACTAGGTTCTCATTTGAGGCTGAGTCGACCAAGGGAATGCCCAGGGAAATTTCAGATATTCATCACTGATTTTGGTCATGAGTGAATTGAACACGGGTAGCCGGCTTTGTAGCACTGCGTGATTCCCACTGCGCCACCACTCCCCAAACACAAAGACAAAGATAAAGATCCATATAGCCTTAACAGACTGTAGGGGCAAGTGCTGTTAGCGAGCACCTATGAAGGCCGGAACGGTACACGAACGAGGGGGTGTATGGCCAGCACCACGCCCGACCGCCTTTGTCTCCCTAGTGGCAATGTTTACACACCACACCAGGTACTCATTTGAGGCTGAGTCGACCTAGGGGAGGCCCGGGACCGGTTCAGATAATCGTCACTGGTGTTGGCCGTGAGTGGGAATCGAACTCGTGTCGCCGGGTTCATAGTGCAGCGCGCTAACCGCTGCACTATCGCTCCCCAAACACAACACATATACACACACACATAAAATATTTACACACACGTAAAAACACATTCACACACGTGCACACACGCAAACACAACACACACGGGCACACACACAACACACACACACACCATGAGCACACAAAGACCAAGGACAAAGATCGCCCATTTAGCCTTTTAGACTCTTGGGGCAAGTGCTGTCAACAAACACCTAAGGCCGGCAACGACACAGGAGTGGTGGCGGCAGGACAAGGCCACACACCCTTTCTTCGTCTTCCAAGTGCTGATGTGTACACAGCACACCAAGGTAATTATTTAAGGCTGAATATTAGTCATGAGGGGGAATTTAACCCGAGTTAACGGGTTCGTAATGCATTGTGCTAACCAGTGCACCACTGCACGTGAACACACGTGCATGTGAACACACACACACGGATATATACTATCATTTATGTCAAGGCTCGGTAAAGCAATAGTTGAGAACTTGGTATGACTTTAGATAGTAGTCTTGACGATGTGTTCTAGTTTGCACGATCATTAATCAATTGCCTACTTACTCATGTTATGTATCCAAGTGCACGATGCAGTCAAAGTCAAGTAAAAGTGTCTCCCAAACTCAAATGACCATCTCCACATTGAAAACGAGCATGGGGCATTGCTCACCTCCAAATGACAACCACAAAGCACGGTGCTGATGGATGGGGACAGGACAAATTTACTGTTGACCAAAATTTCTACTGGTGACCTTCCAATTCTCTCAATATTCCAATGTCACCTAGGTAAGAATAATTTTATTCATTTAGACACAAATACGTGTCCTACAGTCGCTGTGGCACACACTAGGGATTCCCAAACGTAACCAATTGCAACAGTGAAACACGTTATGCAGAGCACTATCAAGTGCACATTTAAATGCGTCATTACCTAATGTGCTATTTCACACATTCCTGGCATTCGGCAGGGGAATTGGGGCTCAGTGATCCACACCCACTCACATCCATATCCATTAGTATGGACAAGCCTGAGACGGAATACTCGAAAATTGGCAATTCTTCACCTTGTAAACATTTCACGTTCTCACTTGCCCTGCCGGGAATTACCATTAAGTTGTGATTGCAACAAATACATTTTTGTGTGACGGTCCTGATAAATGTATTAGGCCTGGCTTTACATTCTGTATGCCTATCTTGCCATTCACTATGTGTGGACAACTCTAGATGTTTCACAATAACTTTAAAAAAAATGTCCTCTGTTGACTGCAATAAAATGCACATCAGCTCACATTACAGATGGGAAAAACCTCCAGGAATCACGTTTGATTTCCATGATTCCACCTGGAATGATTCCTGCACAAATCATAATTCTTACTTGGCCAATTCCTTTGTAAAAGCATACATTTGAATGGGTGTTGTGAGATATTCTTACCGTATTCTCATTCATATGTCTCAGTATTTTGTACCTCAGAGTTAGCAACCCAAGTTTAGGTGGTGTTTCCACGAGGCCAGGAGTCGACAACCAAAATAACAAGAAGAGACATTTTTGTTTCACAAGCCACAATGCACTGTGGTGAAAATAAGACAGTGGTCCTTAATAAACGTCACGAAGCAGTTCTTAAAGATCCGCATGCGGCTCCGGATCCGCAGGTTGCTGATCCCTGCACTAGGCCAAACAGGCTTGCCAGGCCCTTCCTTACCTAACACCATTCTGCGTGCAGCCCAGTCCTCCTATGATAAACATATATTTTGCGGGTTTCACCACCCAGCTGGGAATCAAGTTGTATTCGACGAGGTGACTCATGATTCCATATCAGCAATCAGGAGAATACCCCCCGCTGTGGCATACATATGAATGGTCAATGCCAATTACGTGTCTAAAGAAATTAAATGTATTAACTGTATTTACCATGACTAGGTAGCATATTCTCTTGATTTATACTGATTGACTACGCATTATTGTGGGGATGCTCCTGCAGTGTAAGCATTATCAAGCTGCACTTGAAATACAGAGGTCACGGTATGATCTCCAGGCACAGCAGTTGAAACAATTGGCAACTTTGTCAAATCCGTCCCCCCTAACTACTGCCTCCGTATACGCAGCAGCATAAACGGGTTCACCACAGTTTGTAGATAGGTAGGTCACGTGTGTGGTGGAATTATGTGCAACTACTGCCATATCTAAAAACAAGTAAACAAAAAAAATACGCAGGCATAGAAGAGTAGGCCAAATACCCTCTCCAGGGGAGCTCTCGAGAGCTTCCTCTTGTGCAGGTCTTTCGGCCCGCAGCGGGATGGGTCAGCAACTGCAGGGCTGCACCTTCACCATTCCACGATTATATTGTGACTAAGCCACCCCTCCCGCCCCCCAACCGTACGTTCTGATGCCCTGAGTGATTGTGTGATCGTATCGTCCCATTTGTCAATGGATGACAGAAAAATAATTGTAACAATGTATTTTTTGTGTTTCATTTGCTCTCGGCTTGCTGCGTGTGACCTAATTGATGACTGAGCTAAGATAGCAAAACTTTCCACACTTTATAACTTCCCAAAGAGGAGCACGGGGTTACATTCTCTGACACTGGAATGCCCATTATTTATCTCAATTTACCTACTCACATACTCTTTGGTTCTTTCGGTAAAGTTACGTAGGTATAAGATAAAATAATATAAATCACGACGTTTCGGGCACAACACAAGCGTCCGTCATCAGGTGGGAAAGCATGTGACTTTATCGAAAGAACCAAAGAGTATGGATTCCTGCAGTCACGAAAGCTTCAAATCAAGATTTACCTACTCACCTACTGCAATCTAAAATGATAACCCAAATAAAAATTAAAGGACTACATGGCCAGCATTGTACAGGCACAAACTAACTCACTGTTATTTATCATCGATTCTGGGCAATGCCCGTTCTCCATATCGTGTTCTCTATTTTGTACTCCTATCGTTTTTGCATTGTTTGCTGTTGTAACTTGCTGACCCGCCCATACCAGACATCTGCGAAAACGAGCTTCATAGCTCATCGGATTCCACCAGTCTAAATAAAGATTCTGATTCAGAAATAACGAGGAGACAGACTGACCGGTTGATTAAAAAACAAACAAAAAATATATATTTTTTCAGAAGCGTGACCTGGCCACAAATGATAGCTCAACAAAGTTTCTTATCACATGGAAATGTATAGCAGCCAAATACTATAAACGCATGTTTTTAAATGTGGAGGGAAAAACTGGAGGACCCGGAGAAAAATCCACACGACCACAGGGAGATCATGCAAACTCCAACCATACAGGCATCAGGGTGGGGATCGAACCCACAACCTCCTGCATAAAAAGCGAGGGAGTTAACAACTATCCACCATCTCGCCCCCACAATGATTTTTCGCTCAAGGTCACTTGCATCCACTTGTTCGTTCTACGGGACGAAACAATGTTGGTAGTAATTTCGTCTCGTCGCAGTCCACCACATTGGTCCCAGCTTCTTGCCACACTGACCGTTGTAGTTGAGAACAAAGAATCCGCTGGTGGAGAAGTCGCTGTGGAACTTGATGAGCACCTGGTCGGACGTGCTGTACACAGACTCCAGCGCCGTATTGCCACTGAAGTGGCCCAACTTAGGCGAATCCTGATCGGGGCCGTCCCTGAAACACACGAGCACCGCCACCGGGGATAAATCAGTTAACGGTGTAATGATTCGGTGATTCATCGATCGGAATCGGTGGTTACGCTAGTGGTGCACGATTTGAATTGCGTGTGAAATATTCGTTTTGTTCCACTTGTATGTAAATGATATGCTAATTTTACAGATTAGGCTAGCGGAGTAAAAATAAATTGCACAAATGAAGAACGATGGAAGTGATGTTTGAAAAAGAAGACAAAAATGATTGATTCTTAAATTAAATCACGACACTTAATCACATCAATTGTATAGATTTTTTGGCAGGATGAATCGTTACCTGCTTAATAATTAGCCAGCAAATAGGTTCAATATCTCAAGATCAGTGCCTTAACATGCATGTTCTGTGAGGTCAATTGATTGAATTTCCAGGTACTTATTCTGAAAAAAGATATTTCAGCTTATTTCACCCCACAACAATTACAATGCATCCCAGCTGGGTTCTTCCCACAAAGTGTTATTAATTATCATAGACCCGAAGATTATACGAGTCTCAACTAACGATATGAGTCTCATATTCTTGGTTATTTCGGTAAAGTCACGTAGAAGGGAAATAATACAATAATAAAAATAAACATTATAAAATACAATTCTCACGACGTTTCGGCCACAATGCAAGCAGCCGTACTCAGGTGAAGAAACAGATAATTTAATTTTATTATGTTTTTTTTTATTTCCCTTCTACGTGACTTTACCGAAAGAACCAAGAATATGAATCACTGTAGTCACGAAAGCTGTAAATCGATATATGAGTCTCAGTTAACCAACAACCAGGGTTTCAACTCAAGGCTCTTCTGGTTGCAAATTGGGCAATGTATCCCAGTGCCACCAAACCACATAATAGAAAAAAAGTCAAAAGTGTCCATCGACAAATGAGTACAGGACACTGCTCATCACGTCTATGGTGAGCCCAGACCAAGTACAGTAGTGGGAGAACGACACAACTCCCTACTGCTAGCACATTGGGCGAGAATGCAGAGAATTGTCTAAAGCATCTCTCATGATGCCCACAGGCTATGATCGAACATCACGCGAAACAAGTGGCCGTCACACATTCCATAGACGTCCATGAACCTCGGCTCAAGGCGTTGCCTCAATGAAACAAAAGTGTGAACCTGCAAAGTGGCACCATATCGTCAATGGCTACTCCATAGCGAACATCAGCTAATGATATGCTGCTGATAAGATATATATGTATCCTCATTAAATTTTGAATAACAAAATCTTTACCTTCGAGCGACATATTTGTGTTTGTACAATCAGTCTGTTGGGGAGAGGGGGGGATGCCACGAAAATAATTGAAAGGAAGACCGATTGATTGAAATTGTATAATTTCAGGAAAAATATATAAATTGGTATTTTATTGAAAATCCCGATTATAATGACTTTGATAAATGCATCAAGGTCAGATGGCATGGACGCTGCTTTGCATTCTATAATGAAAATAATGTTGCACAAGTAAATTTGAGCACAGGCTGTTAGCATTTAGATTAAATACAATTATGAAGTTGCACGGCTTCAGTGGCCTTTTATACCAGATCCAAAGTCCACACGTAAACACAAACCCTCAGTTCCACCTCATATAACTGTGAGGGCAAGTGCTGTTAGTGAGCACCTATTAAGGGTTGGTCTGCGTGGGAGGGGATGGTGTGTTGCCAGCATCATGCTCTCCCCTGCTCAGCACACGATTTAAAGCTTTCGTGACTGCAGGGATTCATCTTCTTGGTTCTTTCGGTAAAGTCACGTAGAATGGAAATAATAAAATAAAATAAAACATAATAAAATAATTCTCACGACGTTTATTTCCATTCCACGTGACTTTACCGAAAGAACCAAGAAGATAAAGCACATGATTGCAATTTATGGCTGAGTCGAGCTAGGGGTATGCAAGCCATGATTAGATACTGCCAGCCCCTGAAGCCAGAAGTCAAATCTAGCTCGCCAGGATTGCAGTGCAGTGTATGATACACACATTCACAGAGACAAAGTTCCCCCATGTTGTCGCACTATTAAGGGCCACACAGAACACAAGGCTCCATGCCCGTTTGACTTCGCATCCCAAATTGCACACGAGGGGGGAGGGGTGGTCAGAACCACCCCCAGCTGCCTTTGTCTACCCAGTGGCGATGTTTACACATCGTACCAGGTACCCGTTTGAGGCTGAGTCAACCTAGGGGAGGTCCAAAACATATTCAGATAATCGTTACTGGTGTTGGCCGTGAGCGGGAATTGAACTCGGGTGGCCAGGTTCGTAGCACAGCGCGCTAACCATTGCACTACCGCTCACTGTCGCACTACCCACAAACACATATGTACATACAGAGAGACATACGCGCAAGAATCCACCAAATTACACTCTCACAAGCAATTTTTTCCTTGAACATTATCAGTGTTTAAAAAGTGACTTTCGAATCAAGCACGATGAAAAAAAAAGTTGAGTTTTAAATACATTCACATCAATCCAAGAGAATAGGGGCTTGGCACTGAAAGCCTTCGAATGGGTTAATTCTCTCTACTTACCAGACGGTGATGAAGTCATACACGGGTTCGGTTTTCAGCTGTGTGAAGTTTATATAAATTCCATTCCCCGGTGGAACGTGGATGTGCCAGAAGCAATCTTGGAAGTCGGGGTAGTCATCGGGATACGCTGGCGAATAAATTGTCCCATTCAGCGCCGTGATGTTCTGCCCGCAAGGAGCTGCAATGCATAACAGCGTACATATTAAATGTAGGCCAGGGATTGAAACTGGTTCGTAGGAATTCTAATGAAGTGCGCTAACCGCTACGACACCATGTCATACACAGCACAGGCAAACATACAGCTGTCATTGTGCACAACAAGAGCTGAAATTCACGCGTGTCACTGCAATCGTGTGTGCCAGGCTAGGTGCACTTTGAGGTCAAGTGATCCGTTGAAAGTTTCCTGGCAGAAGGTCAAGGGACAGGCCCATGTGTTAGGAGTTCATCATCGGCATTGTCCCCTCAGCCATTCGTTTGAAAGTATCTTCTCTAGCTTACACCATGCCCTTTGAAGTCACCTCTACAGTATCTATACAATGAAAACCTGCTTGGGCATGTGAAGACTGGGTATGCGGTCTACATGACCAAAAATGCCCAATCCTTATTTACATGCACACGTACATACTGTGTGGACGCACATACATATTTTACTTAAAAGTTTCTGCTGTTTGGCACATTCCTTTCAAATATTCTTGGAAGTCCGGGTACAAAAAAAAAACTTTAACGGCAAATATGGTAAGAAGTGCAATCTTATACATCCACCGTCGATTGATCTGTGGGACATCCAGCTGCTGTGAGTACACAACACACACCTGTGCAGTCATTCCCCTGCATCCTGGGTAGCCTGCTCCCCTCCCACATTCAACATTCTTCATGCGAGATCTTCTAACCAAGAAGTATGGAGGCTCATTGAGGTTTTCCCCTCAGTAGTGTAAACAAATATTTGACATTGCCAGAGGATGCATACAGCAATATCTCACGCTGAAAATAGTATTGCTAACTTATAATCGGAGGGAGAATTTATCACGTTGGTGACTTAGGCCGTCGTGCCATTTGCACGTCGACGCCTGCCAATCAGCGCATTTGTTATTAAAATTCGACTGGAATCGATAACCAGTCCGCTGCTTCCATAACCGGTAACCGATTATAACAGTGGTTACCGGTTCACAGGTTGTCGTTTAGCAACCCTATCCTACACACGACTGTATTGTGCAACACCATGCAAGGAAACGGTCCTCCTCTCTGATATAGACCATAAATTAAGTTATACAGATGTACTTCAATCACCCCCAAATCAGCACGCGAAAAAAACCCTTGCTCTGTGACAACCTCCATTTTATTCATCATAGAACTTCACTCCTCAGAATTTAAATGTGTGAAATCGCCGTGCAAATTGGCTGGCTGGCCGAGAGTTCACAACGGCTACGGAACAGCAAGAGAACAATGATCCAGCACTGCTGCTGAGACGCTGAGTTACATTTCAAATTCCCACCGTATGCCAATAAACCGTGCACTCTCGTGCAGTGAGTTCATAACCTAGTTCGATATAAAAAAAAAACTTGAAAGTTGATTCATATTCTGAAACCAAAACTTAAAGCCAATGCACATGTTGTGTTCATCCCTGGCTGTTGTTTTTGCAAGACTTTCGCAGTCTGAGCCTGTTCCAGTGGCATTCAACATACACAGAACCTGATTGAAATGGATTGCCAGATTCAAGATTTAACATGTCTTCGTGATCTGAATGTTAATAATGGAATTGGAGTGATGGTGTAGCTGTGGTGCATTGTCCATAATAAATTAATCTATACTCTTTGGTTCTTTCGGTAAAGTGACGTAGGTATAAAATAAAATAAATCACGACGTTTCGGGCACTACACAAGCGTCCATCATCAGGTGGGAAAGCATTGACATTTTGCAATAACTGCAAAAACTTTAGTTTTTTTTACCAATTACGAGGTTTTTACTTCAGGGATAAAAGTATTGTTTTCATATATTGCAATGTACACCATACTTTGAGTTCACGCACGAAGGCGTTGCAACACTCCTCGTACGGAATCTAAATTGGCCAGTTGGCAGTCTGTATGGCTGAGGCAGTCATGTCACTATGATGGAGAGCGAATGGCCAACACTTTGCCTATTCATATATTATTTTTATTTTAAGGCAGTGTTCTTGACGAATGTTGTTATTCTCGCGCTTGTGCACCGCTGCCAACGCCAAATCAGCAATAGCGGCAGCATCAACAAACACTATGTATGGGTTTATTATTGCTGAATCCTACCACTGACCAGTCGTGCCATTACCCAGCAGAGAAATATGAATCACCTCCACACTCCTATGTTACATCCTATGTGTAAATACGTTTATAAATACTGATATCGACCCATATGCTCCTCATGCACAGCACAATATGGTTAAAATGATTCCCTTCCAGCCAGTTTCAAATGGACAATTGCCCTCATCAATTTGAATGCAAGCGCTTTGAACAATATCTCATTTAAAAGTGTATCTTCCTGACATTTAAATATCAATAATAATAATGATATTTGTTTAACCAGGAGAGCTTCGGTTATTTTTAAGACTCCTTTGCAGGAAGGAGTATTGGAATGTTTGGCTTGTGCTGTTCACAAGCGTTTGGCTTGCGTGAGGAAATCGAGTCGCGCGATTTAACCTGCGCACGCGAGTAGATTCGACAGTTTACGTTATAAATAGTTTACGAATAAATCAATCGAAGATCAATTTTAAAACAGTATAGGCAACTTAATTGTTTTCTGATGGTTGAATATTGATTGTAGGTCTCTGTGTTTTGATTATGATTATCACACTTTTCACTGTTGTTTTTTGTTTACTTTCCCTTTACGCATATACTCTAAATTGATTTCGTGAGCCAGGTGTCACCCTTGGGCAATTAAGCATTTTTAATCTGAGGGTTCGCTCCAGATGTTTGCATGCACTACTACTGCTGCTTACTACAACTGCACATAAAAGCACAACCTGTGGCGCTAAATAGGGGTGGCCACAAATCACCGTGAACTAGATTGACAAGTGTAGGCCGTGTTCCAGGATGTTTGTTCAAAGTCAAATTTGAAAGCTGAGGAGGCCAAGGTGGCCCTGGAGGCGGAGGGGGGGGGGGGGCCAAAACAGCATGTGAGAACTGAATCACATCCACGAGATGGAGTGTGGATAACAGTCACCGTGGGTTCAAACTGGGTTCTCAAGTGTAGCTAACGGTTTCCATCTCGCCACCAATGACTGGACACAAATCTAATAATATTACTTTTTGGCTGGTTTTTGACTCCTTCGAGCTCCGAGACTTTCGCATGTTGATCGATTTGCACACGATTACCACTATTTGTAGGACATCTAATTGAATGGTGTGCACAAAGGGGGCGAATGAAGTAATTTATGATGACGCTGTTCTGAGACAACATCCTCCTGGGTAAGTCGTCGACATTTTGGTGCAACTGCTAGCTACGAGTTAAGAATGGAAATACATTTGTCTCGTGGCCTCAAGCCAATAGTAAAAATAGAATATAATTGGGCGATTTTTTTCTAATCTTTATCTAGTCACAACCGAAAAATATAACTCGAGTTTTCTTGCAAAACGCATTTCATTAGGTCGCATATATTTTAAATCATAAAATTATTCACGTTGAGATGTCATCGTAATGTGGTATATTGTGAGCGGATTAAAAAAAAACTTCTAGCTTTCAGAGCTCAATAAGGATCGTTTTTATGCAAAGAAAGCAACAGTAGCATGGATGGAATATAATGACTTTTGCTTTGCATGGCAATTGCATTCATCGTGCTTTAATAATTTCACGTGTTCTAAAAATACAAATCATATTCTAGATTTGAAGCTTTCGTGACTGCAATGATTCATATTCTAAGTTTTTTCCGGCAAAGTCACGTAGGTAAAAAATAAAATAAAAATAACTAAATTAAATCACGACGTTTTGGAGGCAACACAAAGTCTCCGTCTTCAGGTGGGACCGTCACAGCCAAATTCACTGTGGCTGTGACGGTCCCACCTGAAGACGGAGACTTGTGTTGCCTCCGAAACGTCGTGATTTAATTTAGTTTTTTTTTTACCTACGTGACTTTACCGAAAAAACCTAAGAGTATACAAATCATACTTGATTTACACATTATCCAACCTCGTGGCACTGCGGCATAGCGACAGCTCACAAATCATAAGGTCACAAGTTCACATCTTGGTTGGAGATCGACTTAATCCATCGACCCTTTGAAGGTTAACAACACCGTGAGAAGTTAACATTGGTCAAGTACTCAAGTTTACTAACCAGGTTTAAAACTCAAGAGACCAGGATCGTCTCACTTGCAAAAGTAACCCGGCTCGCAAATATTCCAAAGGAATAATAAAAAAGTAAGTACAACGATGAATCGGATCAAAAACAACAACATGGAAATTAACAACAGATTCGTCAATAATAAAATTGTGGCTTTTAAAGAAAAAACAAATAATAGGTGATGTTTTGGGCAATGGTTCTGATTCAGAGCACATAGAAATAGAGCAGTGGAAATTTCGAATGGGACTATGGCATATCAGAAGCCACTGATGGCGATGAGCAATGCCCGCACGCACACTCGTCTGAACAGGGGAACTGCGCCTTTGGCACTGTGAGAACGCCACAAGCTCTCCTTCCTGCAACGACTGGAACATAATGTCCTTTTGGACCTGCCTTTTCATCACTACGTGACGTAGATATAATGACAAAGCGTGCACACGGGGGATATAATTTAAACGTGTTTATTCTCTTGGATCGAGGCATGCATAAGATATATCTAAATGAGGAAAATTTATTTTATTCAAATGTAACGATTGACTATTTAGTCTCTGACCTTCTATCCCATGATACTTACAACAAAGCAACGGCAAGACCATCGCTACAAAATGTAAATTGTCTGAACATGTGAGAGCACCCCTCCCGATCAGATGTTTTTAAAGTGATCTTGAAATGCAAATCACTGACGGCGCAGCTCGAAATAAATTCCGAAGTCCCGTTGATATATTCACTCGCTCGTTCGTTCGTTTACGCACACAGCCAAGTTAGATGTTCGCGAGCCAGCAAGTGTCGCGCAGTGGAGGCCTGTGCCTACAGAAACAACGCCAGCGAACATTTGCTGCGAAGTGGAGGTGCTGCCACCACAGTGCTTGT